AGGTCATGTCTCTCCTGCAGCTTTCCCACAGTGACATGAATGTCATAGAGTGTCCAACAAGCCCAGCGATCCGTCCTTCACATGCGGTTGCCTGAACGGGGTTCAGAGCCAAGGTGTACACCAGCAGTGCCTGAGATTGTCGGCTGCCAGACAGACAAACATACATTGCGAACACAGAGGCACGTTGCGGACACAAGTTGGGACCGCACGTTGCGAACGCACGTTGCGAATTCGCGTTGCCTAACTTCTGCTTAGCTTCCGTGGCACGTTGCAAACCCTGCGAAATTACTCTCTTAGTACACTCCCATACACTCCCCATCTCTTCCGATTTCTTCCAGTGCTTCGGGTTTGCGCAGCTACTGCTCTCCATGACATCACAAAGATGATGCTCAGCTGCACACTGCACAGTCAACGTGTCACCGGACAAAGACTCATATGTGAATGGATTGAACATCGTGGTGACGAGATGCCAGAGAAGCCAACATTCTGCAGGTGCGAGCGCTGCAAACGCTTTGAGCAAGAGAATAGGATGGTGCAACTCAGGACACGGCACACCCTCCTGAAGGTTCTTTGAGCCACAAATGCACAGTTCAAGCGCCAACTTTCCGTGATCAATGGGCGATATGGGCGTCAATGGGCCAATGGGACCTTTGTCGAAGCTGGGCAGGCGGCTCGCCACCAGGGGTGGAAGGCGGCGTCTGAATGCCACTAAGCACCTGCCAACGATCATACCAGAGCCGTCAGCTCTGAGGACCGAAAACGTTCACCACACAGTAAAAGAACACCTACGTCACGTGATCCTGAAAGATTCACAAAGGTGATAAAGAGGGCAGGAAACATAGGAAACCAGGGTTCAGCTCACACTCTCCCTATGGAACTCGAATACTCGGAGTTCCGAACGAAACACAACGTCCTTTCCTGAATTCGCCTCAGACGGCCTGAAACGAAACGCTGAGGATCCCGAAAGGCAGTCCCCCGATGTCCCCCGAACACCTCGGGTTCCTTGGGCTCCTTGTCAAGCAATCCCGCTGGCAGAGGAAAAGCAATGATCTTCCCGGACCTGCCAACAGCTACACGCAACCAAAACAAAGCCGCGCTGCACATCGCCCGAGGTCGCGGTGAGTCATGTTACGAGAGATTTAAACACATCTGTCCCGCCACGCTTGCCCACGCGCACATCGAAAAAAAGCATTTAACAAAGGTACACATTCGTCGAAGACTCGAAGATTCCACATCCGAGGCTCCGACTCGCAACCGACTAGGAGGGAGTTGTTCCTCGTCTTGAAAGCTTCCGAAATCAATCCAGAGAAGGCAAGATAGTTCATGATAGCTTGGGAACTATGAGACGCGTGAGTCTGAGATGCTGGCAAGTTAACATAACTCAAAGTTCTGAACTCTTCCGGCTGCTCGTAGGTGCGAAGAAGCTTTGTCTCGCAGAGAGCAGGACATTTTAGCAAGACTATTCACGAGTCTGTGCCGGTGCCTCAACACTTCCGAGCTGTGAATCCCAGAAGACCAATCGGCCGTCGCCCCCACACCTCTTGAGGTTTGCACACTCAGAGCACTCGCTGGAATCAATGAACCCATACACCCTGGGACACCAGCGAAGCGATGATGCCGGTATCAGGAATCACTACAAGAGCCTTCAACAAGCAAAACAAGTGTGAAAGATAGAAACACTTTTTCGCATGCAAACCCACGCCTGCACTGGGACATCATGAAGTCGAACGATCTGCCGCGCACGGTTCACATCTGTTCATCTAGTGACTCTTGACATTTCTTGACCGAATACACTCTGCTTCACACATCTTCACACTCCGTCGGCTCCTTCATCTGGCGCCCGTGGGTGCACTCCCATATGCGAACACTGCAGTCTGCTGAACCTGCGCTTTGTGCTCTAGAGCAGTGAATGCAGTGACTTGCATGTGCCCGATCTGCGGAGGCCTGAAAACAGGAAATAACCATCTGTCGCAAACGATGTCACGGCGTCCTGCGGACTTAACACAACGGGGATTCGCGCACACGGGCTGCGAAGGTTCATGTGCGCCATTCCCGCAGTGAGAATGCAAATTCGCGCGTGGACAATTCGCGCACTGACACGGCGGCCTAACAACCAAGGAAGGCCCAAAAAACATGCAAGAAACGCAAGGAATACTCTGAGCTCTGACATCCCTGAGTGGCGTGCAAAACCCCTGACAAGCCTATAAAGCTTTCAAAAATGTTGGAACCCTAAGAATCCCAAAACCCCTAAAGCTGTGAAAGCTGTAAACCCTAAAAAAAAACCTCAAATCCTGAACAACCAGTGAGCCATGAGCACACTGCATGTAGCCACATCTTGGGAACACATGTGATGCACCATCGTCCTCATGTCCGACCAGATCGGCCTGAACCCGGAGGACATCAGTGGACACAAGTGAACAAATTGGGCTTCCTACAAGAAGACCCGCGAAGCCTCAGATGCCTTGCCACCCCAGATGGTCCACTGCCTCAATGTCACACGGACTTTTTTAATGTCATGGAAGGAATTAGCTTTCTGCATCTCGACAACGTTGCAGCCGAGCATCCTAATGATGCCCTCATTGCCCCCAGAGAAAATGGAGCCAAAAGGGCTGTGTCCCAAAGCAAGGATTTCATCTGTGGCATCCTGCAACCAATATGCTCTTCGAATCAACATGTAGCATGAACATCAAACAGCAGTCGTCTACCAACATGACACAGACTGTGCCAGCGGAGAATTCAAAGCTCCTGGTGCGCCAGGAACACACGCTCAAACTTCGCCATGGCCGTGCCTAGTTCGTTGCGGGGCCATTCAACTCGGCTAAACTGCAAGAGAAGAATGCAAAAATACCGATGCATCATTCATACATGAAGGGCACCATCGCTGGTCAGCGTCACCCGCCAGAACGAAAGCTGCCGATCGTAGGAGCCGGCCACCACGAGCTCGAAGCCTCTCTTGACGCTCACCGGAATCTGCATCAGACTGCCCCTCAACCCCTCCCCCATCCCCGGACCTCGGCCCTCCTGCAACTTCCGCAAGTCAACCTTCCCTCCGCACTGCCAGACATCCTATTGGCCCGCCAATCCCTTCCGCTGCTCCTGTAAGTCAACCCACACTCTCTCTCTCTCTCTCTCTCTCTCTCTCTCCCTCTCCCTCCGGCACGAAGATGCACGAAGCCTGTTCCGGTCGGATCGTCGTGAGCAGACTCGGCTTGGACATTGACGAGAATCAAGGCACTGATGGTGTTCTCGTGCACCTCTGCAATTCTGCCACGAACCAGCAATCCAGCAATCCTGATGGAATGTGGCCCAAGCTCCCACGAGATCCAACAGGCCCGCAATTGCTCAAATCTCTGCGCCGGTGCGCTGGTTGCCCGGTGACCGTTCTCAGGCAAGCTTCCTGATGGCCTTGGAAACATAACAAGCTGCACAAAAGCAGGGGAAGGCCACCATGTCTACCAAGAAGCTATCCAGGGACCACATCTTCAAGTCAGAATTCTCGTGGCCAGTGATCACGACATTTGCACGGGGTACATACACCATGGCAGTGATCTCCTGCTTCCGCTCCTCCGAAAGGGTTTGCCAAAGGAGAAACACGGCGACAAAGAAAGACATCGAACCAGAATCGAACCCATCCTTGAGGCACTTGATGCACTCCAGGGTGTCCTCACGTGTCCATGGCCAAGCACCGGCACCGCAATCAAGGCGCAAAATGCCCAGAAGGCTGTGCATACCGTCATCAAGCACATCAGACATCATCAGACTAGACAAGGCAGGTCACTGAATCCCACATCCGGATGGTGTTGTCCATAGATGCCTGACAGGTCGCGGTCTGCACAGGCATCCCAGCTGCCTGGGTTTCTTTTGTATTCTTTTGTCAAGTGGCTGTGTACAGAACACCGCCCTGGCTCGTAGGTCGGGATGCTATGGCCACAATTGGCGCTGTGTGCTCCTCTGAAGGATGGAGTCGACGGGAGCAAAAAGTTCTTTGCAGCATCTCTCGTGTCGAAGGATCTTTCGTGTTGATCTTTCGTGTTGGTTCGTGTTGTGTCCTTGATCTCCTGAAACTTGACACCTCGCACGACATCAAGCACCTCATGCAGCAAGAAATCTGTGGGGCCAACAGCGACATGTCAAACGAGCGAGGCCTGAATGGAGTGGGGCGTCAGCAGAACTAGTCGGGAGATGGCAGGCAAAAGATGGATGTCAATGATGGACTCGTCGGTCACATTCTTCCAGGTAACCCACGATTCCTCCATGCCCGCAAACGGCATGCTTGGCGGACATAGGCACAGTGTTGCATTAAGTGCAGTTGAGTGCAGCTTCGCTGTCACGTTCGGAAGCACACCTGATTCTACACGGAAGGCAAAAAAATCGTACAGGAAACCGTGTCCGTCTTTGCCGCAACCCTCAGACGACACAAGCCCCAACTTTCGGAAATACTCAACTTGAAGCTGGTGGAGACGGCCGAGCTACAGTGGGGAGACATGTCGCCTGAGAAGGTTCCTCAACAGAGACGCTCAAAGGACATGATTCTTTGGCATTCGTTAGGTGAAGCTAGCCCCCCAAAGTAGGACCAAATAAAGCTGGTCTTCTCGCTGGCCTGCAGAGAAGGTTAATTGACCTAGCTTTTGGTCTCAGCTTGTTCACGTGTGTGCTTGCAGGTTCAGCTAAGAAAGGTCCCACCACATCTTGACCCAGAAGGTCTTGGAGGTGCGCAAACGCAGCCATCCGTATTGATCTTTTTGGCAGAGTGTCAGAAGCTTCATGGGGCGCCACGCGAGCCCCAAATAAGGTCTAGCTGATTGTTACCAAAAGGGGGTTTCCGAAAATAAGGGTACCTTGTTTCTACCCCAAATGGAAGAGAATCCCCTTGAAGGGACCCCCAAAAAGGACACAGTACCACTTTTCTATGACACTCCCAAATGGACTCAACCAGCATGCAACTAAGTGTGCGTTGTAACCTGGCCAAGAGGTGGCAGACAAAACGAGAACGGTGCTGCCGGGAGCGACAAACCGGGAGCACAGGATTGTGTGGAGGAGTTGCGCAGAGGAAGACGCAGTGCGGCACGAAGAAGCTTTTCCGGGTTCAAGGGAGAGGCCTCGGTTCGGGCGGTCCTTCAGTCTCATCCTCCGCAGGGGAAGGAGATCTGCGGCCTCTCAACCGTTTGGAGGACACGGACCGGCCAAGACCGCAGCCTGAAGACGACAGAGGTGAAACCGCGCGTGACCTTGACGATTCAAGAGCATTATTTCTAGGCTGTGGCCTGGGCTTCTGGCTTCAGACCGCCCGCCAAGCTCACACCGACGACTTGTTTTGTTGCACTGCTTCTCGTCTTGCAACCCCCTGCCTCAGATTCGCGGACATTGTTTTTGTGCACGAAACGTCCATTGCGCATCAAACCAGTCCAATCCCCTATGCCTCAAGTCCGCTCCCTGTCTTGTTTCTCCCCTTTGCCTCTCCCATTGTTATTGGCTTTTCTCATTGGTCTCCCCTCCTGAATGAGGTTGTAGAAGCCCAGGTTGCCCTTGCTGTCGCACACAATCACCTCAGCTCAATCTCAAACTCCCATGTGCAAAGCGCGTGCAAGATGTGCAACTTCCCAAGGAGAGTCCATTCTTCTTAGGCAAGCCACATCTTGGCTGGCGGAATCCCAAGCCAAGCTGTGAAAGATAACGTTGCACTGATTCAATTCTTCAAAAAGAACTTGCCCCGTGACGCTGTCCATGGCCTTCAACTTCCTCAGCACGGCTAAGTTTGCGCAAAGTTCTGCAACTTGAAGCGAACCGCTTTGACCACGAGATGTCTCTTGAGGCCCTTGTGTTCCCCGGGGCCGCGGCTGGTCATAGGACAAAGTGAAAAGGAACGACTCCATGGGCACGGCCATGATCTTCGAAACTCCAAGGTCATGGACCTTTGCCTTAGCCAAGCTGGGAATGACAAGTTGCCTCACACACTGCTGCTTTTTGCCACTGTGAACCAGTTTCCTGCCCTGCTACTTTCCAGACCGCCAGGAAGAGCTGCTCGCTCGCTTTGTCCTCACCAGAAAGCTGAGCTCTTTTTATACCCATACGTTCTCACAGCTGGAGCAGTGTAACTGGCCCACCTGCTTCTGGCTTTCTCTCTCTTCAGCTGTAGGTTTATCGTTTTATCGTTCGTGGCGCTACAGTAGGGGCTACGCCGGCATCCCTTGCAGTTCTTGTGCAAACTAGAAGTCGGTGCTCAGAATTCTCAATCTTGTTGCATATGGAAAACTTGTGGAGGAAGCGCGGTTCATGCCCCTACTGCAACCTGCTGCTGCAGGTCGCATTCTCGAGGATCATTTAGCAGACAGAGACTCAGAAGAAGAAACATGGGTGCAGTTGGCTGGGTGCTTCAGGATCGAAGCCAGGGCTTCGCCGAGTCCTGTGTAAGGTCCAGCTTGAAGATGTGAACATATCCTTCGGAATCCTGAGAGCTTTCTCGGGCCAAAACTTCTGGTGCTGCACACGTCGTTGCGACGTGAAAACGGCGGCCTAAGGCCTAAGACGGAAGAAGAGAAGAAAGACAGAAGAGACGGAGGCGGAGACCTCTCTTTGGCCAGGCAGCTCCAGCAAAGAGGGTGGGAGCCTCGCCTTCCCGCATGGACAGCGACCTTGAAAAAGCACGTGCCGTGCTCACACGCCCGCATACGTCGGCAGGACCTATTTGCCCTCCTAGGCTGTCTGCTGCGTCCAGGCCGCATGCAATTCACAGCCGTGAGACCCAGAACGCATTGCGCTTCAACTAGAGTTCGGCTTACGTTCCCTTCCTTAAACTTCGAGCCTCAAGAGGACAACTCTCAAGAAACTCTGCCCTTCTTGGAAGCTTCTGGAAGCGCGGACCAGTGACAGGAACCAGGTCTCCTGCATGCAGGAATGCCAACGTCGTGCGTCAACATGCGATGTGTGCGTTACATTGTCTCTCTGTAACTACGGTGCTTCCTCCGGTTTTGTGCGGGGCTTTTTTTGGAGGTCCTTGGCCCTGGTCCCGGCATGCGGCTCCAGCCGCTGGCGGACCGCGTAGGCTGGAAAGCGAAGGAGCCGAGCGGGGCTCCTGGGCTTTGGTCGCAGAACGGGCTTTTTGGGAGGGGTTTTGTGGCTGAGCTCTCATCTCAAAGCCATGGCCCCCGGCGCATCGCGCCAAACAAAGAGAAGCCCATCCGTGGAGGAGCTGCAAATTCAAGACAGCTGCTGAAATTGCTGATAACCTCAAACAGACTCCACATTGCCTTGCCTGAGAAGCAGGTCTGATCCATGCTCGAGTGCGATGACGGTACCCCCATGTCCATACAGACTCTGTACCTGCAAGGACAAAGGCAGACTGCAATGATGATGTGTGAAAGTTGCCATCGGTGCCATGTCACATGGCTCGAGGGCTCTGAGCCTCACACACACTGGATACCTGTCCTGGGATCAGAGAGGTCCCACCTCGTGTCACACACCACTTTGGCGTAAAAACCCTGGTAGCCGTTAGAACCCGCCAAGATGCATCTTGATGCACCGATCCTCACAGCGCACGGAATTGCGGCGTGAACCAAGCTGATTGCACTTTACCCACTTGCTTCCAAGCGTCTGCCGCCCCCGAAATCATCACTCCCTTTACACAACAAGCAAGACAAAGGAAACAGATTGAAGACGGATGACAGCGGCTTCACAACACGGACCCTGCCTGGCATAGACTCTCAACAAAGATCAATGACCGCACATCTCCCTTGTGCTCTTCCAGGACTCGAGCTTTGCTCTCTTTGGCCCTGCGGTCAGCACAATTTCCTGAGAGGGGCACATGCAAGGCATGTGGTGTGACGAACCCCGTGAGGAAGCGGCTGTGGACTTCTGCAAGAAGACCGCCTATCTGGCCAGAAAGCTTGGCAGCTTGGCGAGTCGGCGCTCAAACTACCCCAGCGCGGAGACGCGTCAGCAAAACCCTAACCCCTGATCCTGTGCCATTTTCATGATAATTAAAGCCGGAGATACTGCATCACAGGTGAAATTTACGCAATTGCTTTGGGTAAACCGGCAATACTTTAATTGCCTTGAAAGCGGTGCGTTTGATTTCATTGTTTTTGGCTTTTGGCTAAGAACCCAATAAGTTTTTTGACCAATAAACATCAACTGCACAAAACACAATACAAATAAACAACCAGACCTTCTATAGCAGATAACAACGAACAATTTCAAAAACTCAAAAACAAAATATAAAAATTCTGCAACAGAGGTTTCGATGGCTCATACTGGCACAAAAGCATGCCTTCCTTGCACACCTACAGCGCACGGCCGTCAAACTGACCAGAGCGCTGGTGAATCCTTGAGACAGGAAGTACCCATAGCAGCGGACTTGGACCAGAGAATCCTACCACCGTACGCACAAGTACCCTGCCAGTACCTCCACGCAAAGCGAACATAGGACCCCAAGCCAAAAGAAGAGCGCTGGGCAACGCTGTATAAAATTGAAGGAATCCCCACGAATTCATGCCAAGCAGCGGTCGATCTCCCAAGCCAAGATCTTTCCATCACTGAGGCCAGCGAAAAGCAAGCCTCTCTGAGCAACGATCAAGCAGCAGCTGGCGGTGGCTCCTGGTGCAGACCGCCTGAAGCAGTACTGGACTGGGCAAGACATGACACAAAACCAAAGGTATCTGAGCAGTCCGGTAAAATTGATGTGTTTGTGGCCTCGACCGCTGCGTGGAAAGCGGAGAGGAGAAGCTGCAGACGGGGCGAAACTCGATGGAGGTCATGACCCAAGGACCGTTTCCACCGCCATGTTTGACCCCTCGGGCCCGCTCGGGCCAGCTTGATGCCCTTGGGTAGCTGAAGCTGGGTGAATGGGGTGAGTGCGGTTGTGCATCAATGAAGCCCAGCATTGTTTGTCCTCCGGAGCCTACTGCACCTTGCCAGCTGCTTCTCGGAGCATGTGTATGAATTGCCGTGACTGTCATGCTCAGCATTCTCCGCTCTGACACTTAGCTGCAAGAAAACGGCGAGTGCGGTTGACCATGATGATGCTGAACTGTTTATGTTTTGCGACTTTGAGCATCACATCGGCTGCTACAAAACAAGAGACTCAGAGAGATGACACACACACAGGAAAAATGGTAGCCGCTGCGAAGCTGATTTACACATGTGTGTTCATATACGAGTACGTTTGAAGTTCCGGGCACGGCTACCGCTCAAGCCCGATAAAGGCCACATCTTGCTGGATTGACCGAGGTTGGCCCTGGCTCTTGCTGGTTGAAGCACATCTTCCAATAATATTTCGAATATCTCAGGCTGTAGCCTTGATGGGAGGGCGTGCAAACACCCCGCCTCGCAGTGGCAGTTCTTTGCAGCGTCATTCCTCCTCACTGTCTCGCTTGGCTCGTCGAGAACCTACTTCTCTGGCAGGAAAAGTTGCAAATGGAGTATGTCCCTTGCACGCTCTGCGCCCTGAGGTAGCGGAGATCGTGTGGTGGACTGCTGGAGTCGCTTGGAGGTTGGGAACTTTCCTTGGCCTATTGATGTCAGAATCGAAACTCTCTTTGCCAGCCAAGTTCTTGAGTCTCTGGTGGCCCACTGGTGGCTCTTGGCGGTTCTCTCTTGGCCTTCATTGGGTTCTAGGACTGGCTTCCCTGGTCTTTGCTGAGGGATTTTGGTGAGCAAGTTTCCCAAGCTGTTGCCACTGAGCCCTGTAAGGAGCTACGCAAGTCGTAAATGTAGTTGGCGGGCCTGCAAGGTGCAAGTAGGTGGTTGCCTTACCCCATCCATGGAAAGACATCTGACTGGGACAAACCCTGTCTCCACGATTTAACGCTGGTCGCCTGCCTCAGCATGTCGATGTCTACTGACCCTGCTCGGTCAGATGGTGCATGAGCGCTCTGCACATCCTGCCCCAAAGCTCAATAAGTTCTGGATGATGCTTGCTTAGCAAAGCATACCTGAGAAGAAGCCTATCACATCGCTGACCATATCCCACCAACATTGTGGGAATGGTCAGCGCCGGTTCGGTGGTGGAAAAGTCGCTGACTTCTGTCATGTCTACACCGCTGCGGAGAAAATTAGACTCGGAAATAGCAAGAGCACACCCGCTCGCTCTGATAAATGACAAGACTATGCTGCCTGCGCCTCTTTGAATGCGAAGAGCTGCGGTGAACTCTGCCGAAAAGCTTAACCGCTAGGGCCACTAAGGCTTATAGCCTGCCAAGCGATTCTCGGCTCAGAAGCAGTCTCCTCGCGATTTTGTGAGTTTCCACTCTTCCCAAAGCCCAATACTTCTTCTAGTTCTGAAGCATCTCTGCCTCCTGCATGGCTCTGTGCCTCCGCTGACGAACTGCATGCCTTTCGTGAAGCGACAGCAAAGCGACAGCTAAGGAAACAACCTCTCACTGCAAGAGGCTGTGCCTCTCCGACCATGGACACCACTTCATGGTTGCAGAAGCTCTCCTCGCTCGTCAGTGTACTGACATAGCTAGGTCAGACGCAACAAACTGCGAAAGCGACAGGAAGAAAGTGAGAAGAGTGATGCCCGATTGACCCTGTACACAACAGGTGTGCTTCACTCCACGTCGCACCTTATCCACGGTGGGGCTGGTGGTGGACAGAACCCAGCTCGTTGTTCGACAGACCGAGGCCGTTGGGACAGAAACACTTGTCGGCCTTGGGCGAAAGTGATTGGAGAAGCTTCGAAAGCTTTGGGCCCCCCGAGCATGTGTACAAGCTGAGCCTGCGGCATAGAAGAGACTGAGAAAACGGATGCCTCGTAGTGTGGAGAACTGCTCATCTGCATTTTGCAGCAGCTCCTTCTTCAGGGAATAAGATCTCGACCACTTCAACAGGATCCTCAGGCCACCTGCAGCACCACATCATCACAGGGTACCATCGCAGCTTCAGTGCTGTCAAGATGAAGCTCAGACTGGGAAATGAAGGTCAAGCCCAAGCTGCATGGCACTCCGGTCTGTCAGCAAGGTGGGCATGTGGACCTGGGCATGTCATCTACAGCACAGTACAGCACCTAACCCTTTGCCCGAACTCCCCGCAAACCGGACAAGCCCCCCCAGCTTGGGTTCACCCCCTTACCCAATCCCCGTCCAGGAAACCGGACAATGCTCTCCCACCCCCAACCCATGCCAAGCTTTTGCGTCGGCCAGAATAACAAGAACTCAACGACCTGCCCCGGAACCCTTTTCGCAACCCCCCTTTGCCCCTTTTCCCCCACCGAAAATCAATATTTAGAAACGTCGAGCACACACTAAGAATATTTGGCATGTCAGGCATCACTGTCATTTTCTGTCTCCATGTCTCCCGGCCCCCACCGAACAAGCCGCCCACCTTACTTCCCCCCCCCTTTATGACAGCATTGTCTGTCTTGCCTCTCAGCGACAGCATGTAACAACTGGGGTCCTCGCTGTGGGGCTCTGTACGATCTTTGGCTCGTGCCAAGAGCTACTGCTAGCCTGGCTGAAAGCAGAAGCTTCAATCAACAAAAACTCTGAACAGAGAACAGGACTGTGCTCAACGAAACGCAGGCAAGCGTGGCGCAGCCCATGAGTTCAGTGCCTGGAGGTGCCACAGCGGCACCTCAACAGCACCTCAAGGCGCGCCTGAATGGGCGCACCCTCAGGCACCCCACTGTGCCATAGCTGAAGCCGAGAACAAAAGGTGCGAGAAAGGCATTGCAAGGGAGCACCGCAACGTGCCAATCATAGGCCACTTCGGTATGTTCCGTTCACACCATCCTATCAAGCCGGCCGACTAAGCATTCAAGGAAGGCAGGACATCCGGTTTGTAACGCTGCATGCTTCGGAGCAACTGTCGTGTGAGACACGGAGGGAGACACCCAGCTCAGCTTTTCAAGCTCACTCTTGTTTGCCTTCCTGGCAGGGCGCTTCAAACACTTGCGTGAGGGGCGAGAGACTGAGCCGATGACTATGATACCCTTACAACATTCTTACAACACTTGGCCTTGGCAGCAGCGGCCTTACGTCGCCAGACTGCCTACAGAGCAACTTCGTTCGGCTGGCTGAGGCTGCTGGTGGGAGAGGCTGCTTTCGTGCACGCGTTGCTTGCGCCTGTTCGTGCAGCGTTGCTGCATCAAAGAGCATCTGCAGGGAGAAGATCGATGCCAAGAAGCTAAAAACCTTGATATCGCTGGACCCCACCAGAAGCATCTGTCGCAAAAGGCTCTAGACTTAGGTCGCGGGCGGTAGTGGCAATGGTCGACCTGGATGCCGTCGAATCCCATTTGTGCAAAGTCGCGCTTCTGGTTGCTGTGTTTTTGTCTTCAGCCAGGCTGCTTGGTGAACTTTGCTGTTACCATCTCGCAGGTGAGGAGGAGGTTTTCATCGCAAACGCCATGAATGTCCTCGTCACTGTAGATGGTGCTGTTGCCTCGGCCACAGAAACTACAGCATGTGAATGCCAGTCGCTCCTTGATGAAGACCCTCCAAAATGCCAACGAGATTGATACTAAAAGCTCCTCTCTGAACTGGGTTCGAGCACATGGAACAACTTGCACCTGTAAGCTTGTGACCAACGTTTAGCTTGGTGAGGAAAGTCCTGCAGGAGATTGAGCGTTCAAGGCTGGTGGACTATAGAAAGCCGCGTGCTTAGCCTGATGTGTCGGTCAAGTTATTCCTGGGTGCTCTGTTTGCTTCCCTGTCTCCTGAGAGTGGTGAGAGCGCTCTCACACACATCCGTATCCTTGGCAAGGCTAAGCCAAGGCAGCAGAGCACAGAGGAATAGAGGGAGCTCCAGTCCAGCCTCCAAAACGTAGACCTGGCCACATCCTGCCACGATCATCGCTTTGACGCCAGCAAAAATTGCCATCACCACCGCAATCAGGAACGTCACCAGCACCTTGAGCCAACATCTGGAACAGCTGGGCACGTGCCACTTCCATGCTATGGACAGCATGCGTAAGTCCTTACCACTGAGGAGCTGGCAATGACTTGCATGAAAATGATGATGGACCAAAAGCAGAGATCTGTATCATGGAAATTGCTGCCTAGCACGAGGAGGTTGCAAGGAACCACACAGAAGTTCGGCATCTGCGTACGTGAGTCTAGCTGAGATTCGGGCAGCAATTGCAGCATTTGGAACCCAACAAGGACAAGCGCTGCAAGAAGGTCGGGTTCTCCTCTGATTCTGAAACTTTCTGAAACACGAGCCATATGTGTGGGGCCGCATCTGATGCAGCATATGATGCAGAATGTTGGTGCTAAGCTCACTTGAGGCTTCTGACGCCCTCCTGAGGCTCTTCTGGGGAGATCGGCTTCGGGCCGCCGAACCTCAGCCGCAGAGCCGCAGAGCCGCAGAGCCGCAGAGCCGCGGAGCCGTTCAGTGGAAAGAGGAACAGTCCGACACGTCCCAGTTTTTGATCACTGTTGGTCACTCACGCACTCGCACTGCTCTGCGCATCAAATTGTGAATAGAATGAGCGCACGCACACTGACCACTGATCTCTCACACAGCTCCCAGCGCGTTCAAGAGTTCTCAGGCTCTGAGTGCGCAGGCCACCCATTGGCCCAAAAGCCGTAGTAGAGCGTAAAGAGACAGAAGGGAAGAATGAACCTTTGCATCAGCCACTGACATTGGCCCCGTTGACAACTTTCCAACCTCTTTAGACGGTCGAGGCGAAAAATTGTTGCTACTTTGCCAGCCTAGGCAAGGTTACGTATGCAACCAGCAACACACTGCTTGCGACTATAGCGAATGACTCTCCTAGACACCCCCGAACCAACAGCAAAGAGACCCTTCCAGCAAGAAAAGAGAAAAGAGGCTGCGCATGCCATTGTGGGTAAAGGCTGGCAAACAGAACGATCTCCCAAAACCCGACAAGAACATCCGAATGGTCTGTGATGGCATATGTGGATGGCATAGATGGCATATTCTCAAGGCAGAGCACACAAAGTAGATGACCCAGATCATCACCCAGAGCTCTGCTACCTTGTTGAAGATCTGCGGGCCCTTCTCCTGAACGAATCGACGTAACTTTCGATGAAGCGCCCCGTGCAGATCCGTGCAGAACTGTGCAGGCTTTCCATCCTCGAAGACTGAGAAGATGGAGTCGAGGTTGGAGCTGAGCTTGGACACCTTCCCCAAATTCTGGGGGAAATGGGGGGAGAGTCCAGGACTGTTGCCAGGTTCAACGCTTCAAGCCTCGCTTCTGGCATCTTTCAATGTGCTGACAGCAGTGGGGAGAAGGTTTGAAAATGTCCGCAGCAAATTCACCATACCTGACGGATGTGGTGCACAGTCGACACAGCTCATGCACAATGCAGACATTCCTGCGAACCTTGCCACGCTTCAGAGATCGTGTCGCTCACTCCCTCTTCTTGCGATACCTCCTGTCACCAAAGACGGCATGGGCAGATTTCCGATCCGGAACATGCATTTTCAAAATCTCCTGATAAAGCATCAAAGGCTTCTTTGGCTGGCTGAAGAGTCGATCAATCTCCGCATCCTTGCAGGTTTTTCACTGGCTTGGCTTCCTACCTGGCAAGCTTAGCTGCTTCCAAGTGGCCACGGCCAGCAGGCTCACCTGAATCCAAAGGTCAAAGAATTGGTAAATTCCCACTCGGAAGTCGTTTGGGGCTCTCGCCTTGTTGTTGAGCTTGCCGTTGAGGGTATCCAGACCTCGCGGGCATAAAGGCTACACAAGTGGAGCAGTCTTCGGTACAGTATATTCGTATATTGATTGAAATTGACTGTATTGAGTTTGGACGAGCGCGAGCCTTGGCCTGCCAAATCCGAGGCTTTGTCCAGCGCTTTGTCGAGGAGTCCCTCCAACGCGTCACCTCGAGTGATTCCCACGTTCCCATGCAAGATCAGCAGCTGGCTAGCTCAAAAACAGCTCCAACAGCTGAAACGAGATCAAACAAAAACAGCGCAGCTTGAGCTACTATGTTGCAATGCTGGCTTCAAAGCGACTCTGTAGACACTTGATGCGAAGTCTTGCCAGTGCGGCTTTCACAAAGAACGAAGCAATGCAAAACATCTGATGCAGCTTCAGGCTCTCAACAGGGGCTGTGGAACATCTCTTGTAAGGTGCCCGTGCTTTATCCATGCTGTGGCGCCTTTTCTTGATGAGCAGCACCAGCTTACATGACGAACTTCTACTCAAGGCGCTGTTAACTCTGCATCATTCGCATGGTGCAGGAAAGACGCGAGCGGCAATAACATATTCCTTCAAGACACGACACACCATTCAGCACTTTCGGGAACATTCTGCCACACGCACTTTGTAAAGTTTTCAAGTCACCGTGAACCTGGTCGAACGATCTCGCTGGTTCGGGGGTCACAGCATGACATGAAAGGAAAGATTGATCACAAGGAAGAAAGGCAAAGGATGCATGGCAACTGAGTTGGCTATGAGCTGCGCTGTTCACACCATTTATGTGAGTATGTTTCGATGCACCTCAAGCGAGAAAAAGCAACATCAAACCCCCAAAAAGGCTGCTTCGCGTTGCTACGGAACATCTTGCGCGTGCCGCGCGACCGTACAGGGCCCCTGCCTAGCTTGTCGCCAAGAGTAGACGCAGTGAGATTGCCGATCTCACCCCCCAGGGCATTGCTCATGTACTGCCCGATCTGGCAGGAGATCCGCAGGAGACTTACACATGACTTGGCTTCCGTCTGCCTTCGATGCTGTGGCGTTGCTTCCAACAGCTCCAGCCAGAATATCCTCATATTTGGCAACAGATGAAAAGACAAGGGGAAATCACACATCCTAAGCTGACGTGGGATCTTCGCTCCTCGAGAGGCTTCTCCAGCGACTGTGCCAAGGGGTTCGAAATCACGCTTCCGATCCTCAAGTTTCTCTGACTTTTCTCTCCCTTCACGAACAAGCTTCTCAAGAGACTCAAGATCTGCTGGGCTTCGGACATCTCGCCCAGGCGTTTGCCGGCGTTGTGCGCAGCCGAATGGATCGCCGTCTCGAGCTGAGGCGCAGACCTTATTTTTTTGCATTTGTTCATGGTACTGTCACAGAGTGGGGCCTCGCTGCCAGTTTAACGTGTGACATGCAGCTGATCCTGAGTCTCGGCTTGTTGATGAGGCCCACCAACTTGGATTCCACCGTCTTGCGCACATCCTGCGCGTGGAATAGACCAATGATAGGTATGTCACAGAGCAACAGCTGGGACTTTCCCCTGCTAGACCCGCATCATGCAGAAATGATTGTGGGGCCAGGGGGTGGCTTTCGCTGTGTTTCACAGGCGTTTTGCAAGAATGTCTGAAAAAAATTTGGGCGCCAATCTTTCAGATTGGGAATCTAACATGCCACAAAATTTGAGAGAATCTCGGATCCAAGAGAGTCTGGATTTTGGGGGCATGGCATGCTCCGAAATGCCTTTGAACTACAACTGTACTATGAATGAGTTTATCATATTCTCAAACTATTATTATTATTTTTGTTATTCTGTTCGCTTACATTATTTAGGAAACATAATGATTCCCAAATTTTTAATACTGTTATTTACGTGTTATAAACATTTACATTAGTGTAGAAATTTAATGTAGGTACCGACGATACCTCCCTGCAATGCAACTGCCACTACGGCAGTTGCCAGATGTTACCAGTAACTTACTTGGGAGAGGCTTTGGGGTCGACAGGGATTTGGGAAGGAGGAGCCGTGGAAAAGGAACTCGATCTTTAGAAAGACGTGTCCTAAGTTTGCTGGCAACATGGCATCAGCCTCCACGACTAATTGTAGTGGGACGCCACTTGACAAGCACGCGAGGTGTCGGCAGTTTAGAGTTGTGGTATTTCTCGTCGTGGTGCATGTGTTGGACGAATGATCAATATAGGGGCGGCGGACTCAGCCTCTGAAAGTTGCATCCGCGCATTGCCTACAAAAAGGATGGGATAGGAGCCCTAGGAGTCCTAGGAGTCCTAGGAGTCCTGTAGTGCTTAGCTGGCCAAAGCCCTCAGCGCTCGTCCGACATCCGAACTGGAACAGTTGTCATTTTGTCATCCTCGCCCGCAGAAAGCGCAACGCACCTCAGACTCAGACCAAGCCTGCTCGGATATTGAAGCTGTTGCAGGGTTTTGGTGCTGACTCTTTTCACTTCAGGCATGGGTTCAACAAAGACACCCAGCTCATGTGGACTGGTATCCGAGCGGGCACACAGTCATGGTTTGACATTCACGCGTTGCACGACAAAGTATCAACGGGTGGTGTGCGCTAGAGCCGGTAGACATATATACAGAAGAACACTGGGAGTTTAAACCTCCTTGAACAGAAAATTGGAGGAAAAAACAAGGCTTGTTCGAGCAAAAGAAACCAGTTTTGCGAATCTTACTGCTATTGCAGATGTATGCGCAACGTGCTAGATTGCTTCGGCCTTCGGCCGACATCTGGAAGACCAGGATCTCGTCTTCCGATGCAGCACATGGGCGGGGTTTTCCGGCTTCGCACCCCCAAGCTTATGGGTCGACTGGTCTCCGGCGATTTCCTGCTCGACCCGCAGTGGCTTTCCCGGCCGTGCGGACTGGAAATCCCAGTGCACCACTTGGATCACGTGCATTGGCTTGGACCGTCGGACCGGAGCAGCGTCTGCAGGTCGCAGACCGCTTAACAGCTTGGGTGATGGAAACCGCACACATTCTATCCTCTTTCTTTGGCAAACTGAGCTACCATATTTGGATCTTCAGGCAAATGTCGCTCTCTGTTGTCTTCCTCTTCTTGCAGCTCTCATACAGTCAGCACACTGTGCTGTTTGCTTTTGCTTTTTGGACCCACCATTTGCTGGCCTTCCCCGCAGTCTCTGTCTTTGCTTCCCTCCAGTCATGCTTGACGCTGCTTTGAGATGGCCAGTAGTGACGGGCTTTAGTCCCCTGGGCGCTCACTTGTCGGGAGTCCTTGGGCCTGTCTGCAATGCTTCAAGTGTTGCACTGAAGTTGTTTCGCGCCGGCCTCAGAAGTAGGGATGGCGTCGTGTCATTTTAGGCTCCAGGGTGCGAAGTCTGAAGTCTGGGATCCGAGCTGCATGAAGGAATCGACGTGTGCAAGAAAGTGACTATGAACAGACAGCCGGAAAGGCCTGAACGAAGGACTTATGCCTTACACGTGGCCACGCCATCCCTGGGGGCGGACAGGCCAAACAAAAGACTACGAAGACGACTACGGCTCAGGGGCACGGACTGGACCATGGGCTGCAGAGATTGCCACATGCAAGCGGACGCCGGCTGCTGAAGCTAGTGGCCACCCTCGGGCAGGGCACCCTCAGTAAGAAAGCACGCAGCCTGCAAAGGGACCTGCGAGCTCATGTGTAGGTCTGCAGAAGATCGGAAGTAGGCGTCCTGTACCAAAAGCCATGTGGGGCGGGCCCACTAGTTTGCAGTGGCGGGCTGGGCAAGAACCTCAGCGGCACTCAGGTGGGCGATGGCAGCCGCGGGCGCGGGCAGGGCCCGCCGAGAGAGTACGGACCGACCATGACTGGAGCGGATGGCAACACACAACTCCTGTAGCAGCTGGTCCTGTAGAGCTGCAGCGGCAACTCCCTCGCGCAAAGCAGCAGCCCGGGCAACACGAGCAAGCAGCTTGGCAGCGCCGGGCTCCCAGGCCCCCGTGTTCTCAGCAACAAGGGGTTGGAAACGGACCCCCTGGCTGGCACATGTTTGCGCCGTGTGCAAGTGGGAGGACTTGAAGGCAGCATAGGCCGAGGCGGCCGCCAGCGGCTCCTGGCAAGCAGTGGCAAGGGTCTCGGACCGCGTGGGGCCAGTGATGGCCAGGTCGAGTGCGGTGGGAGACCCATCCCAAGCAGGCAGGTAGACGTCGGCGGGCCGGCGGGAGGCCAAGCGCACTTCGTCAGGGCGTTGGGGGAGCAAAAGGTCAGGCTTTTCGACCTCCGGTTGCAAACCAGCCCTGTCGGCCCAGGCAGCAACAAGATTACGGGCAGCGGGTTGGACCCACCACCCACACCCACACCCACCCACCCACCCACCACCCAATCTGCATGCCCGCACATGCTCAATGTGCCTTGAGTTGAAGTCGCAACAGCTGCGTTTTGGCATCTCAGCTGCAGTGGGGCTTGGGGAATGGTATGTTGTGTTCTTTGAAGTTGCTATTCAATAGCAAACGTACCGAAGTTGACGATTGTTGGGCTGATTCTCCACAGCACACAATGTTGTTGGGTGGCCGGGCAAAAACCTGGATAAGTCGTAAACATCCAGAAATGAGCTTTGCTTTTGGGAATGGGTTTCACGTTGCCACCCTCCAGCGATCTCCAGCGAGCATGCTGAATCGGATGAAGCTAACTTTTGTCTGTCAGCAAAAGCTGCAGTTTCGGTCCTCAATGAGCTGTCAGAAACTTGGTTTCCGGAATTTGGCTAACTTTTGATCTGAACCGCACAGTTTCCTGAATCACGGTCCTGGTGCTAAAACAAATAGCTCTTTCCGGAAGGTGCGGGTGGGAAGGCAACGGAGAAGTACAGCGACACCCTTGTTCTAGAGGCAGCGCAGCTGAACTCGGATACGACATGATACGACTATGTGGCCGTGATGCACGCAACAGTCGTGTCAACGGTCCTCTACGGCCTTGTCCACAAAACTTTCCACTTTGGCCTCCAGGTCGTTGATTCCCTGGGCTCAAGACATCACATACTGGAAAGATGTATGAAGTCCCTGCTTGGAAGCCCCTTCCTTCGGGGTGGCATACTTCTCCATGAGTTGAATAAAGCTCTCCACCTGAGTGTCAAATTTAGATACGCACTTCTTGGCACCATCACACTTAGCCAACTCAGACCAACCTTCTTCACCATGGCTTGGATCTTGGATGCGAAATCGTCAATGGAATTGCTTGACTCAGATGCATAGTCGAAGGAGTAGTGCCTTGGCCGTGTCGGCTGCGCATTTGTCGGGAGACTTTGACGTGCCGTTTTGTGCGCAGGCTCGAGCTCGCGTGCAGATGCGAAGTTCAGATGGCTGCACACTGTGCAGCTAAGGTGCTGTAACTCCTTTGCCCGATCTGATGCATTGGCGCGCAAGAAAGCAGCAAATTCCAGTGTCTCGGGAACTGCTGGCACACCTCCTGGCAAAGGAGTCCCCAATGGTAGCGCATGGGACTTCCATGGACTTCCACCATTGAATCGGATGCCTCGCAGAGCCGAGCTCGCCTTGTCCTCGAGATCACAAAGAGGCACCCCACCCTGCCGCCCAGCCCTCAAATCATTGAGATCTCACAACGGCGTCCTGGTTTCCAACATCTGATACTGACCTGTCATGGCTTGCTTGGTCACCCTCTGTCCATTTGTCCATGCGATAGCACCCTCATGCAGCCTCCACTTTGGGACATGTGGCTAGCTACACTAGCACTGGGGCAGGAAGACTGAAAGGGGAAAGCTGGGCACCAAAGACTTCACGAGGCGTAACAGGAAACACGGGAGCGCTCGTCTAGTTTTGCTGCTGCCATTTGCCGTGCAGCTATTGCTTATCTTGCAACAGCAGTGCATCTTGGCAAAACGCACACATGCCAAAGCCTCAAGTACTTGCCGCTGCTGATTACCAATTAATAGCCCCGGCATCTGATTCTGTCCACTGCGCTGCAAGTGCTGCGCTTCCAGCGAACTTCGCGAAGTGGGACAGACGTGCACGAACCCAAGACACCAACACTTCAAGCCAAACGTGCCAAAGGCACACTCCTCCCAGGAGTCGCTTGAGGAGAAGTTGCGATGTGGCGGAAGAGAAAAGTTGACTCCGGCGGCGCTGGCGCTCCTGGCGACAGGTGCTCTCATCGTTCTCTGCACTTGGGGAAACACAGTGGTATACAGCGGTATACAATGGTCTCATGCCCGCTGTCCTGCAAGCGTTCCAAGCGGTAGAGCCTGGCACTCTCCTTTCGGACACGAGCCCATCGACCGTCATGGACCATGCTGACATGAACCCAATGGATATGATTAACGAACCTCTCTAGCTACAAAATACCTAGATCAGGCTAGGCACTCCCAGCTTTTATGCCTTACTGCTTCTTAGCTCTGGCCAAAGTGGTTAAGCGCAAGCTCACTGAACATAACGCTTGGACGCAAGAATGATTTGGTGGCCCATTTGGAACGGGCAACCACACACGTGCCCAGATGATGCAGGTGCGGGCCACGGCTCATGGCTATTCGCTGCACAGACGCAAAATGTGCAAAAGCAAAGACACAGGTATGGTTGGAAGAATGGGGACACAGGGTCCTTGCTCCTGGCGCTGGTTTCGCTTTGGGCTTGCAATACTTATGAACTGATGCCTTATGGTGATGACCGAAGTTGGATGCACAGCTGGGGCTTCGTCCCCAAAACCTGATCCCTGAACCCCAAACCTTGCGCGTGCGAAAACATCGGCAGCAGCGGCGATTTTGAGCCTGCAGCCTTGTGTTTAGCAGTCATGTATACGCTTTCTCAAGGTCGGCATGTTACAAGATCTCGGTCAGCTCTGTCGAAAACTGCATCGTGATCAGCAGCGCTCACAGGAGCAGTGCGGTTTGCAGGGGGCTCTTGATGGAGCGTGCGGGTAAATGGGGGCCAACTTCAGATACTGCTAGGAGGAATTATCCCTAGATGATGTCGCCGTGTCGCGACAAAACTTGTTGACTTGGTCGACTCCGTTGACTTTGGAGGTAAGGCAGTCTGCGGTTCAACGCGTGCACGTTACACTAGCTGTCCTAAGGTCCTAGGGTAAGCTACAGGGTACTTTCACAGCGCTACTGGTGTTGGTAACACTGGTGATGATGCCGACTCTGTGCACTTCTTCCGCAGAACGATGGTCCCCCTGCACCCTGTTTTCGCGCGTACGACATGGGAGACCCTCGGTTGCCTCGACTGGCTGTCGATGGATTGAGAAACACAGATTTACACAGAACTGTATGGGGCGGTGCAAGTCCTCTGCCATGACGAACGCTGCTTCCGGCATCGCTTCCAGAAGCTCAAGCTCCTGAATTTTTGCAACTTCATCAGTATGCAGTGCTCAAAGGCCCCTTTGGCCGAGCAGTCCTGTTGAAGCGTGCTGTCGCCCTCAATTAAGGATAGCAGGCCGACGCCGTCATGTTGCGTCATTGCCATTTTTTGCACCTGATGCGCTTGCAGTCTAAGACAAAAAAGGTGACGCTAGCCCTTTGGTACCTGAGTGATCCAGGCGGTGGCCATCTTGATGCAAGCTGGCTGGTCCTTCAGGTCATAGCCTCACATCGTGAGCGCAGCGACATAAGAAGCTTCCTGTTTCACAGAGAACCAACAGTTTGGTTTTGTGCGCCTTGTGACTGCCACCATGATGAGTTGCCCATGAGGTCAATGGTCGTGAGCATGGCCTGCAGACAAAGTTGTCAGCGCGACTGGCACACAGACGCAGCTTTCCCGCAGCAGCTCCTCAGGGTGAAGTTTGTAGACTTCCTTAGTCATTCATCTTCATGTTCCCCCAGCATGCTCTCCACATTGCAATCGAATCTTGGCTTTCATGTTGACTTGAGCCACGCATCTGTTGTCAGCAGGAGGCCCGTGTCAGCGCCTAGGCAGACAAAAAGTAAAGGCCACATCCAAAGCCCGAATTCGCCTCGGCTTGCAGCCGACAGGCGTCTAGAACCAGCAAACCAGAATCGGATCTCCTTCCCCCTTGCCGACCCGCAACCGCTTGCCAGAACCTTTCTGCACGCCCACACCCGACCTCCCTGGGACCCTGGAACAACCCCGGACCGTAGTGCACTGCACACCCGCTTTGGGCCAGCCGGCTGCGCGCAAGCGTTTACAAGAAAGGCTCACTTCTGGCCCCTTCCTATGCTCGGCTGAGATCCAAACTGGTGAACACTGCAGCATTGGGATCCTTGCTGGAGAGGCACATCCTTAGAAAATGGGGGCTGAGAGCCGCCCAGCCACTTCCGCCGCCAACAAGCATCATCAACAAACACAGCACCTCCGGATACCCGGAATACGCATGATGCTACACATCTATCCACTGACACAGATTACCCGCCAGCTTCAATTTGTTTAATCGACGGTTCCCTCCCTGAGCAAGGTGGCAGAACAACAACCACCGGGACGAAAACTCTTGAAGGTCGTGGTTGGCCCAAGCGTCTCGACAAAAACCGTCCCAGTGAAGTCCATCGGGATGCTGCCATTTCCCAACCGGTCTGCAATCCAATCAACTTTGGTCATGTTCTTTGCACAAACCTCAGCTCAATATTTGCCATCCCTGCCGTCAGATTGAACAGTCTCACCCAATCTTTGAGGGCCGCAGACAAGCCTTCCTGAACATCGCTGGGGCTGAAGTCACAGCCAAGTCACCAGCTTGACATAATTTGCGACACTGCGTGCGACATCATCTCTCAGGCGAGCTTCACCAACATCACCCGCAATCTCTGCCAACCGTTTGGCATACTTCCTGCATTTGGAGAGGTGGCTGCGCTTCTTTGGCTTCTGCACTTTTCAGCACTGCCGTTTGTTTTGGCTGTCGCCGGAACGTTTTGTTTGGCAGCTTGGCAGGTTGCTCCGGCCTGAGGATCACGGACAAGGAGCCAGGAATGCTGGGATCATTCACCAATTGTGTAAACTCCTCGTCCATGCGCAGTGAAGCACAGCATACAGGCGTGAAACGGGAAAGGACAAAGCATGCGTGCACTTTCGCCAGCTGTCCCGGGGGCCAATCTCCCCGTCACCGGACACATCATACTTCTTGATGAGTGCTTCTGCCTTGTGGCCTCAGAAGCACTGTTACCACACACACACAAGCAGCTTTCAAGGATGAAGTCATATGATGTCATTCCTCAAGCGGTGCTTGCTTTTGGGGTTCTTGCGTTGATAAGAAGAACCCTAGGGACAAAAGGCGTCTGGAGCAAACAGACCTCCTGAGACCCCTTGGGACGCCCACAGCATCCACCCTCTCTTTGCTGCCATCTTGACTGCTTGGCAACTCCACCACATCCCACCACCCTTCCCGAGCTTCACTAAGCTTCACTTGGCAACAAGCCCATGAGAGCGCCTCCTTCGAATCGGAGGACCCTCTCTTTACCACCACCCTATACCCAAGCTTCGGCAACAAGCACACAAGCGCAATCAAAAAGTGCACCATGCTGTGCTGGCCTCTATAATCTAGCAAGCAGGGTTTCAGGGGTCCCCTGGCAATGAGTCCAGCCAAGCTCTTAACCTTACTTACGCTGCGGCTTCAAAAGGAATTCGGGTCGGCTGTGCTCTCTGCACGTTCTGTGGCTTCGGCCGGGTGCCGAGGCGTGCACAAGCGATTCGAGGCTGCGCCGTCAATCGCGGCGTTTTTCTGAGAACCGGACACTCTCGCGCGGGAGCCGTGCGCATGAATAGCATGTTTGTCGTCTCGCGATGGGTGCCAAACAGCTCTCTCAGTTCCCGCTTGCACGTTCCATACTCGAACGCAATGCGCATGTTATTGGGAGGCTCGCAGCCTTCCATGTAGGACATGCGGGGGGCTTCGAGTTTCCAGGGTTGCCATGCCAAAAACGTGGCAGCAGAGAAGGCGGCAGGATGCACTTTGCATTTGGAAAGGGGGGGGGGGAGGGGAGTGCTTGGATATTTGTGCATTTATGGAGGCTAGCACTTCGTGTCGTAAACTGCTCTCTCGCGCCCAACATCCTTGTGAGGTGCAGAACTGTCATCACCTTCCCTGGAGTGTTCTTTGTTTTGGTCTTGGAGTGCTTTTGGAATGGTCATTGTGGAGTGCTTTGCGGGGTTCTTGCAGCACTCCTTTGACGTGGCTTTAGACTGCTTGGGGTCTACGCCGGATGTAGTCATGTCACCTTGGAGAGCCGAGATGGAGAACCAGTCGCCCACATTTTTGAGCTCCTGGAAGGCACTGACAAGGGAATGAACAGGACAAACATGCACGAACCATCACTCCATGCTAGCCCACCGTCGCAGATACTTCGCCGGAGTCATCATCGTCAAAGATGGGCCAGGTCTGCTGGATCATCAAATCCTGGGCTAGAAAGGACCTCTAGCTCATGTCAGCTAGCTCAGCCTTGCACAGACATCCCCCAATTGGGCTTTGATCGCTTTACGTCATTGTCGCCTCCGTGCGAATTAAGCGCCATCTGCCACTACCAAACCTGCAAAAGCTCAATTGCAGTCCAGGTATCCGAGTTGTTTCCTCCGCCCTTCATCTGCGCCATGACTTGATCAAACATCTTCTGGGCCTTGTCCAGCGTCGAGCTGAAATCTTCCAGGCCTCCCGCAACTCCCGCGGAGCCCTCCCAACTCACGACATGACATGTACCAGCTATTGGGTCGGCAGTCACAATTCTTGTAACATTTGATGCAATAGAATACGACCCAACCGAATGTCACAGAATATAGCAAGATGTCATAGGATACAACAAGATATCATGGAAGATCATAGGATGTAGTTGAGCAGAATAGAATCAACGGAATAGGATAGAATAGAAATTATGCTAAATACAAAGTAAATTGGAATCCAATAATTACTATTGTATACTGTATACAGAATAAGAATAAGAGACTTCCAAGATACTCGTGGTTAATGCAAGAAAATTGGAATAGACCGGAACGGGACACAATGGAATGTTTCCAGATTTCACATGCAATTGTTCGGTTCTCCGTTCCCTCTCGAGGATCCTAAGCATGCGAGTCCATTTGCAATGGCGGGTGTAAGCATCAAGTCTTCACAGTGGGTCGCAGGAGGTCATTGCATGGGATTTGGGTCTAGCACCACAGCCGCCCGTGCTACACGATCGAGTTCTTTGACCTGTCAGCGCGTTTTGACCCCATGTTGAGACACAAGCTTGTGTTTTGGAGGTCTCGGGTGGGGAACCCTGTTTTCCATGTTGGCCGGTCGAGTTTTTGCAGATCCATGGGCCAAGGTTCTTCCAGGGCGGATGGATGTTTTCCGTGGCTCTTTTTCATGTCGGCACAGGCGGCTGACAAATCTGATGGCTCGAACTCGCACTGGCCTTTGGTGACCTTGTCTCCGAACTGAAGAATCCATTTTCCAACCTGGCGCATCAACTGCCGCACGACATTCCGCCCTTCAATCGACACAGATACCAAAACAGTTAGAAACTCTTTGGAAGGCACTTGCTCCAGAGCGGGCTTGATCTTCTCCAGCAGCGTGTGCAATCCTGCTTCCACTTCTTCCATAACCAGACTCATCACCTCACAAGGTGTGGCGCAAGAATCGAGATGAAACGAGCACTCTTTGGCTCACGTTGGGTCTTGAGCCACTTTCGCTCACATGGCCTGATGTATCGCGTCAATGATGATTGGCACCAGCGCCTCCACATGAGACCTTGGCGTGGGAAGCATGGAGGTCTGCATGAGACGAATATCCTGTCCCACATCCGTTTTGCCTGTCTAGGGTGTAAACAGCGAAGGAAGGAACCAAGTGTAGGAGTGGGAGGACAATGCTCCAACATGCCACACGCTCCCTTTAAAGCCATTCGGGCGTTGCTTCGGGCCTTTGGGATGTCGTCGCTTGAAGCTTGGAGAACCGTTTCAGTAGGTTTGACTGTTCCATGAGGCTGCTTCTCTACTTTGTTCTTTGGCTGCCAGCCCATGGTCCTTGTTGAGACGGAAAAATTCCATGAGCCTTTGAAATCCAATGAGATGGAAAACCCAGTGTTGCAAAGCCACTACAATCCGCACTAACTTTCTTAGAAACCCAACACCTGACTGTTTACTTCGACAGGAACTTCCATGGATGTCTGTGTTTCTTCAGGTCGTCTGGCCGGTTGCCGTGTACTTACAGATGAACACTGTGTCCTATTGGAAACCCGAACGAAAGCAACTCGCAGGAATACTAACGCAAGCACCAACCTGCCTAATATTCCAGATGTGTCTGACAGGCCGGAACGCGATTGACAAGAGAGCTGACCAGGAGCAAAGAGGTTGACGAGCCACTAAAGTCAACAAGAAACTTGATCGGATCTTGTCCAGGCCTGCCCATCACATGACGCTAATCAGGGTTTTTATGCAACCTTCGAAATCCTTGTTGAGGCACTCTGAGCTCTAAGGCCATATGGGAGCAAGCTGCTTGCAACCTAGCAGCGCATTCTTCCCATGAACCTCTTGCAAAAGGACCAAGCCACGTTCTGGACCATGCTGCTGCAGCAGCAAGAGCTCTGGGTGCTTGGCGATAGCCTCCACGCAAGCAATCTTTCAACAACCATGTCCACCCCGAATCAACATCCTGATCAACATGTTAGGTGTCAATTGCTCCATATGGCATTTCACGGCTGAGAGCAGCTCCGCATCTGTTTCGTTGCCAACCTGAACAAAGGCTTTCTGGGTATTTCTGAGACAACAGAAGCTTCTTTCTCGCCATGGCACCATGGAGAGGACGATGTCCAGCTGGCCCTGGGCATCCACCACGTGCTCCAGACTGCCCAACAACATCGAGGAGACCTCGAAGCAACAGGAATAAAGGAGCCCCCACACGGCACTAAGCAGTGCCAGCGCCTGGTGAGCCGCGCTGCTTTTCTCTACTGCTCTCCGCTCCTTCCCTGTTCTCTCCGAGAAGTACGTAGTGACTCCCGAACGAAAATGAAGGGTTACGGCTACGGTGTAATCTCCAATATCGACTTCCGTTGACAGTCTTTGGGGGTACATACCCTTTGCGAGCGTGCAAAGGGTCCTCTCCAAGGCCCGCTCGTTGTTCATCTTGATATCGATCTCCTGTGCGGGCAGAAGCTGCTGAAGCTGCACGCAAGACATCAAGATCCATGCGTGATGCTCTATCGAGCCAAGCGTCCGTCTGAAGTGCTGTTGCAATGCCCATTCCAACATGTGACCAGCCTTGCCCAGCAGCACAAAATGCACATAAGGAAGCTGAGGGGAAGGCCAGACCCGAACATTTCGTGTCTGTGCATGTGTTTGTTCGCTCTTGTGTGTGTGGGGTTTGTTGGTGGCACCTCGGGTAGAGTGCCCAACTTCCCGAAGGGCATCCGCTGTCCACTTGTTGCCGACCAGTACAATTGCCTGTGGCATCACTGCAGACTGCAGCACTCTCGTTAGCAACCCGCGCAACTATCGGTGGCTGTGAACTGTGAAGTGCTAGGGTCGGCACGTTGAACACGACAGTGGCAACCTTTGCTGAAATTCATGTGCCACACGGCGATGCTGCGGAAAATATTGGAGCATTGGAAAGCCTAGTCTGGAAGAGCCGTACAGTCATGCCCTTGTTGAATTTTTGCAGCCACATGCCCTTGCAATCCTTGCAACCTTGCGCAACTTTCATTTCCAAGCCATGCAACTACTAAGAAGACCGTGCACCAGGGTGTGGATGGCGAGGTTAAGGATCCTGCCATGACCTCAGGCTAGCAATGTGCACAAAAAGGGTTCAAAAGATGCCACGCGGAGGTACATCAAGCTCTTCAGTATCCCCACAAGTGGCCGGAGACTCAAAACGAAGAGTATGATATGGCATCTTGTGAATCTTCATGCGCCTGACACCTCTGTAGGTAGGCGGCGTGGATGGAATACGGTTAACGAGAAGAACTACACCCTTGAACAGGTGGCGTTTGTCACCTGAGCCAAGCGGCTGCAAGGTGCATGACGGTGCATGAAGGTGCAATTTGTGCATCACTTGCGTCCTCTGGAAGTGATGAGTGCATGTGAGCACAAAATACCGTATGTAGATTTCAAAATACATATTTATATATACATATATACATATATGTATTCTAAACATATGAAAATACCCAAACCAAACAAATTCACACCAACGCATATCCTTGGCAACATGAGCATGTTCTTCCCAATATCAATCCACATACACATAACTTGTCTCTGCCCGTTGTATTGCCATTTTTGTCCCGTGCTCTACGCCACTGCAGGCTCACGTTCACTTCTTCTCGTAAGCACAGGTTCAAAAAAGGACTCGTGATTTTGCTGTCTCCGGAGCTCACAAACCCATATTAAATATGGGATTTCGCATATCACTTCTACAACTTGGCTGTGGCCGCCATAAACCTGGAAGCGTCGAGCAAAGCACATCACCAACCGCACTGTTGCCCGCGCCTTACCCGCACAGCTCGAAGATACTGTCCGACCAGACTGCAATGGCCGTCACATCGCACTAAGTTCATAGGTTGGATACGATATCCGCCGACCCCAGCGGTAGCAGGGCGGCGTCAGTGAAGACCCCCCACCGCCCTCACCGCCCTCACCCGCTCTCACAGCATGCTGCTCATGACACCTTGAATTGGAGTGTTTTTGCATTGTTTGGCTTCAGTGCATGCCCAAACCCCGCCACCCATCGCCCTCACCCATGACGCCTTGAATTGGACCTTTCAGGTGGTTTAAAGGGTCCAGTGCATGCCCGACCACGCCCCCCCCCCCCCCCCCCCACCCCCCACCCCTCCCCCCCCCCCCCCCCCCCCCCCCCACCCCCCCCCCCCCCCCCCCCCCACCCCCCCCCCCCCCCCACCCCCCCCCCCCCCACCCTGTAGGCCTCGCCCCCCTGCTCGCCCCTCACCAATCTTTAAGGATTCCAGTCCATGCCCGCCCTGACCGTTCACCGCTCTCACCGCTCCCATCACTCCCCCTCCCTATGCCCCCCCACCCCTCCCTGACACCAACCCTTTACCCTCAACCCCCCACCCGCCGCCTTGACTCTGAAACCCCCCCCCCCATCCCTTCCTTCTAGGCCCCTACCCCCTACTCCGCCCCTGACAAATCTCTAGTTTGAGATCCACGCCCGCCCGCCCGAACCGCCTCCCCGCTCTCATCACTCCCCTGCCTTCCGCCCCCAACTCCACCAACCCTCGACCGTCACCTCCCCTGTCCACCCGCCGCGCTCCACCCTGCCTTCCGCCCCAACCCTCTCACCAGAGCTGGTCAAATGAGTCAGGCCCCCCTTTCCGCCAGCCGCCCCCACCCTCTCCCACTCCCACTCCCTAACCCTCCCACCAACCCTCCCCAGCCCTCATCATTACCCCCTCCCACCATCGTGCACCATCCGACCGCCCCCCCGCTCTCACCGCTCTCATCGCTTCTTCATCTCTATGCCCCCCAGTCCACCCCTGCCTTCCGCCCCCAACTCCCTAATCCGACACCAACCCTCTACCGTCACCCCACCGCCGCCCCCCTTTCCACCCCCACCCACCCCCACCCCCCCCGCCCCCGCCCCCCCCGCCTGCCCGCGCTCCACCCTGCCTTCCGCCCCAATGCGACTGTCTTGGGTCTGGGGTCGGCGGCACTGGCGGTAGCCATTAAATAAGCTTTGAAGGAATATGCGGAAATTTTCCCCTGAAGAAGAAGGATATAACAGTTGACATGGAGTCATGACACGACCTCTCTCTGGGAAGCATCTTGGCTGCCATGATTTCAAACCAATTCCAAGAAATGTGACTGCAAAAAAAAACACCTGCACGTCTTGCACACTGCAAGACTGCACGGTTTTGCACAAAAAACATCTCGGATGTTGGGTTCTTCGTTCAAGTTCCCAACAAGACCACGATACTTCTGAATCGTAGGTGAAATGGAGTACGTGAATCGCGTGAATGATTGGCGCGTGGATGACGCGGCAAGCCGGGAAAATTGTCGTCGACTTGACGAGGAAGCCTAGCACATCCACCGGGTCTTCTTCTTGGTTCATGGGTGCCTGATGGAGGGCCGGGGGGTTTACAAGCAGGGACTTGAAAATTCAAGCTGCGGCAACCCGGATTCAAAAAAACATGCAGAACGGCATTGGAGCATGGTTCCGACCACTGGCTACCGAAGCAGCAAGGTTCATCATTTCGGCAGCAAAGTCCAGGCCCCCAGAAGGCCTCCAACCAGGCCGGAATACAGAAAACAACGGCAAAATCCAGAAGCGTGATCTTGTCACCAACAACAACAACGATTCCTATGAATGGTATGAGCATGTATCATGTGAAGATCATATACAGACAATACAAGAAATACATGAGGCTGGGAAATTCCAGATTTCAATATATAATAATTGTAAAAATTCCATCAGCGGGACTCCCGTCAATAGTAACAAATCTATCAAGGGGGTTTGAGAATTGTACATTGAGGGTAGGGGGAGCAGGGGTCGGGAAGGTTCGAAGCCTCAAAGCCTCAAAGCCTCTCAGCTGGTCTGAAGCTTCAAAGCCTCAAAGCCTCAAAGCTTCTCAAACGTTGTCGCTGAGACGCTTGAGACGCTTGAGACGCCTGAGGCGCTTGAGCGCTGGAGACGCTTGCAGCCAGAAAGCATGAAAGCCTGAAAGTCTGACAGCCTCGCAGCGTCAAAGCCTAAAGGAAACGTTGTCCTTCAGACGCTTGAGACGCTTGAGACGCTTTTAGCTCTTGCGTCGCTTGAGGCGCTTGAGACGCTTGAGACGCGTGAGGCGCTTGAGACGCTTGAGGCGCTTGAGACGCTTGAGGCGCTTGAAACGCTTGAGGCGCTTGAGACGCTTGAGACGCTTGAGACGCTTGATGCGCCAAAGACGCTTGAGGCGCTTGAGACGCTCGAGACGCTTGAGGCGCTTGAGGCGCTGGAGACGCTTTGGGATGCTTGAAACGCTTGAGGCGCTTGAGACGCTGGAGACGCTTGAGGCGCTGTAGACGCGTCGGGCTTGATGCGCTGGAATCGCTGGAGGCGTTTGGGCACGCTTGAGGTGCTTGCGACAGTACTCGAGACGCTTGTGCTGCGCGTGAAACGATGGAGATTGATCAACGCCAATCCGTTTGTTAAGCATTGACCAGAATTCTCGCAAATGTCCGTAGTTCAAGTTCTGTTTTCTTGCGCACGGAGGGCTCACAGTCTGCGTCGCAGAGCTGCTGTTGCTCAGACGCCGGTTCCTTTCAAGTCTTCGAAGCTCAACACAAAGATACATCGTTCGAGCGCTTTGAGGACTGCCAGCGACATGACAAAAAGAAAAGGCCAAAGAAGGGCGGGGATTGAGATTGAGCTCAGGCAGTCTTGATCTGAACCATAGGGACTTGATTTAGGGTTCAAGATTCAGGGTTTCACTTGAGGCGTTTTGGGTTGGGGGGGCGGGGGGGGGGAGCAAATTTCACAGGGGAGGTGAGGAGGGGAGGTAGGGGGGCAGGCGGGGCGGGGGTTGACCCCTTGAATTGTTCGATCGTCTGCTAAACACAAAACCTTTTCAGGAACTTTTTTTTTTTTTTTTTGGGGGGGGGGGGGGACCCCTTCAATTGTTCTCTCGTCATCTAAAACACAAAACCTCAGGTTGAGCCCTTGAATTGTTCTATCGTCTGCTAAAACACAAAACAGTATTAGGATTTTGTTGTTTTTTTCTTTTGGGGGGGGGGTGGGGGGGAAAGCGTTGACCCCTTGAATTGTTCTATCGTCTGCTAAAACACAAAACATTATTAGGAACTGATTTTTTGGAGGGCGTGGGGGGGGGTTGACCCCTTCAACTGTTCTATCGTCATCTGAAGCACAAAATCTCATTATGAATAAACACGAGCGTATCTGGCGCGCATGTTTTGTATGGTGTACAGGTACAATTGGGAGCATGTTTTTGCCGCTTGGGGTCTTTTGAGCGACGCTAAACCCTAAATTTCAAGATGAAGCACTCATTTCCGAAACTTGCGGGAGTGAACGAAACATGCTTGTATGTGGCGCTCATGTTTTGTATAGTGTACAGGTACACTTAGAAGCATGTTTTGCTGCTTGGGGTCTTTTGAGCGACGCTCAACCCTAAATTTCAAGATGAAGCACTCATTTCCGAAACTTGCGGTGTTGAGTATCTGGTGCGCATGTTTTGTATAGTGTACAGGTACACTTGGAAGCATGTTTTTGCCGCTAGGGGTCCTTTGACGACGCTCAACCCTAAATTTCAAGATGAAGCACTCATTTCCGAAACTTGCGGTGTTGAGTGAATGAAACATGCTTGTATGTGGCGCTCATGTTTCGTTATAGTGTACAGGTACACTTAGAAGCATGATTTTGCTGCTTGGGATCTTTTGAGCGACGCTCAACCCTAAATTTCAAGATGAAGCACTCATTTCCGAAACTTGCGGTGTTGAATGAATAAGCAGGAGTGTATTTGGCGCGCATGTTTTATAGTGTACAGGTAGACTTGGAAGCATGCTTTTGCCGCTTGGGGTCCTTTGATGGACCCTAAACCCTAAATTTCAAGATGAAGCACTCATTTCCGAAACCTGCGGTGTTGAATGAATAAACATGAGTGTATCTGGCGCGCATGTTTTGTATAGTGTACAGGTACACTTGGAAGCATGTTTTTGCCGCTTGGGGTCTTTTGAGCGACCCTAAACCCTAAATTTCAAGATGAAGCACTCATTTCAGAAACTTGCGGTGTTGAGTGAACGAAACATGCTTGTATGTGGCGCTCATGTTTTGTATAGTGTACAGGTACACTTAGAAGCATGTTTTTTGCCGCTTGGGGTCTTTTGAGCGACGCTCAACCCTAAATTTCAAGATGAAGCACTCATTTCCGAAACTTGCGGTGTTGAATGAATAAGCAGGAGTGTATCTGGCGCGCATGTTTTGTATGGTGTACAGGTACAATTGGGAGCATGTTTTTAATGTTTGGGGTCTTTTGAGCGACCCTAAACCCTAAATGTCAAGATGAAGCACTCATTTCCGAAACTTGCGGTGCTGAGTGAATGAAACATGCTTGTATGTGGCGCTCATGTTTTGTAAAGTGTACAGGTACACTTAGAAGCATGTTTTTGTTGCTTGGGGTTTTTTGAGCGACGCTCAACCCTAAATTTCAAGATGAAGCACTCATTTCCGAAACTTGCGGTGTTGAATGGATAAGCAGGAGTGTATCTGGCGCGCATGTTTTGTATAGTGTACAGGTACACTTGGAAGCATGTTTTTGCCGCTAGGGGTCCTTTGAGCGACCCTAAACCCTAAATTTCAAGATGAAGCACTCATTTCCGAAACCTGCGGTGTTGCATGAATAAACATGAGTGTATCTGGCGCGCATGTTTTGTATGGTGTACAGGTACAATTGGGAGCATGGGGTCCTTTGAGCGACTCTAAACCCTAAATTTCAAGATGAAGCACTCATTTCCGAAACTTGCGGTGTTGAGTGAATGAAACATGCTTGTATGTGGCGCTCATGTTTTGTATAGTGTACAGGTACACTTAGAAGCATGTTTTTGCTGCTTGGGGTCTTTTGAGCGACGCTCAACCCTAAATTTCAAGATGAAGCACTCATTTCCGAAACTTGCGGTGTTGAATGAATAAACATGAGTGTATCTGGCGCGCATGTTTTGTATGGTGTACAGGTACAATTGGGAGCATGTTTTTGAAATTTGGGGTCTTTTGAGCGACCCTAAACCCTAAATTTCAAGATGAAGCACTCATTTCCGAAACTTGCGGTGTTGAGTAGGAGCAATAAGTTGAGATGCTCGAGACGCTTGAGACGCTTGAGGCGCTTGAGGCGCTTGACGCTTGAGACGCTTGAGACGCTTGAGACGCTTGAGGCGCTTGAAACGCTTGAGGCGCTTGAGACGCTTGAGGCGCTTGAGACGCTTGAGACGCCTGAGGCGCTTGAGACGCTTTGGGACGCTTCACACGCTTGAGACGCCTGAGGCGCATGAGGACGCGCGCGAAGCTTAACAGCCTCTGAGCCTGTCAAAGTTTGAAACGCCTGTGACGCCTGTGACGCTTGAGACGCTTGAGACGCTTGTCTCGTTTATGACGCTTTGCGGCTTCGCGGCGCGGTGCTTCTTTTACGCTCGCCCGAACCCCCAACCCCCCTACAATCCATTACCATTACCGTTCCAAATATCAGCATCACTATCATTTTCCCCATCATTATTATACATTTATCGGGAATTGGGAGACGGGTCGTCTTCACTCACCATTGTCGGCCTGACAGTTGAAAGATCCCACAAGAGGAAACCGCACGCAGGCTCTGAAAGGCACCGCCCTTTTGCAGCTTGAAGCCTGACCTCTTCGAGGACGACAACTGCAAGTGAGCAACAGACGCCGGACTCCGGGGCGTTTCACCGCCAGATTGCTAGCCCCTTCGGCACGGACCCACGAATGCAAAGCGATACTTCGAAGACTGTCGCTGTCCTTCTTGGAATGATTAGAATTATCCGCGGACCACCCAATCGGAGGCCTCTTCGAGGCGCCGAGTCGCGACCGCGGCCTGGGCCTTCTTCAGCCGCATCTCCGCGTTCGGGAGCACCTCCACGGACTTCTGGCTCTCGGAGAAGCCGTCACCCCCCAGCACATAAAGAGCCCCGTCCCAGGCCGCGGCGGTAAACATCTTTCTCGGGTGTTTCAGCTCGGGGCCCTTGGCCCAGCAGCCCCTGCTGGGGTCGAAGACCTCAGTGGAGCGCAGGGCCTCGGAAAAGTCGCCCCCCAGAACGTAGAGGCGCCCATCCGAGAGCGCCGCCGCCTTGTGGGAGCACCTGGCTTGGCCCAGGCTCGGCCCAAAGCCCCAGCTGCCATTCGCCGGATCGAAGACCTCGACGGAGGAGAAAATGGAATAGCGGTCGTGGCCGCCCACGGCGTAGATTTTGCCGCCAAGTGCCGCGGCCGCCACACCATTTCGCCGCTCGTGCAGGGGCCGCAGCTCCTGCCATTGCTGGGTGCTTGGGTCGAAGCTCTGCACGGAGTTGAGGAAATTCCTGCCGTCGGAGCCTCCCAGCAGCACGAGCTTGCCCTCGAGCCCCACGGCAGCGTGGCCACTCCTCCCCTTTCCCGAGTCCGGGCCCTCGCTCCAGCCCTCCTCGCCGCTCCCGGGGCTCCAGCTCTCCATGGAGCTCAGGGCGCCGCCGTTGCCCACTCCTCCCGTCACGTAGATGCGATCTCCGACCACGGCGGCTGCAGCCAACTCTCTGTCGCAGCTGAGGGTGGGCCCTTGGCCCCAGGAGCTGCTCGCCGTGTCAAAGACCTGCACCGTGCGCCCTCCGGTCTCCACGCCGCCCATCACGTAAATCTTCCCATCCAAAGCGGCGGCCGTTGCACAGCACGTTGCGGACATCGGAGGGCAGAGGTCCTCGGATCCGGGCCCCCCCCCTACTTATCTCCTCCTCCCAATGCAATTTTCTAAAAGATCTAAACGAAACAAGGTCAAGCCGGGAACTCGAAAACCCAAGCGAGGAAAGTGGTGCAGCAATCTGCGCTCCGCCCTTTGTCCACGCCTCCCAAAAGAAAAAAGCCTTTCTACTAATAAGCGGTCCATGCCATGCCGCCACATCGAACTCCTCCGACGCCGTCTGCGCCAGAATCTCCACCATGTCGCTCAGCACGGAGGTGACGAAGTTGCAAGCAGGGGACCGGAAGCTCTGGTCGCTTGGGCTGTCGCCCGAGATCGCTCCGCACACTAGGGGCACGGCCTCTCCTAGGAGCCACTGCTGCAAGACTTTGGACCTTGGCTCCAGGGCCTTGCTGGAGGAATCCAGGGACTCCGCGAGTGATGCCCTGGTCTTCACGAGCTTCTCCAGTGCTTCCGCGCACTTCTCCATGCGTGCGAAGACCTGCCGGCGCAGCTCCAAGCAGGCCTCCGGCACGGACTGCGTGGCCTCCAAGGCAGGAGAGATCACCTCCTGGGGCGGGCGAGGCCGGCGGCGAGCAAGACAAGTGCATGAAACCCTATATGCTCTGCTTAGCGTACACCTTACCTTGATATATGCAACAAGCCACGACAAGCCGAGCATCGACTTCGATCTGCTTCTCCGAGCCAAAGCCTTCGAAGGCACTCACCAGAGCACCATCGAACCTCGCGGCGAGCATCTCGGCATCGAAGGAGACCTTCACCGTCTTATCCTGGCCCGCCTCCATCTTCAAGTGCTTCTGCTCGAAGAAAGCGGATCTCAGGACCTTGGAAATGCCGTCTCTGGCCTTCTCCACGTCCAGGCGCGGCTGCGCTTCCCTCAGCTTCTTCTGCAGCTCCTGTGAGCAAAGGAAATTTAAGGGGGTGGAAGGAGGAGCCAGGGGAAAGGGCGGAGAAGGACGAGCAAGGGGGCGGTGCGGTGCTTTGGGTCCTCGACGAGGCACGGCAGGCGCTCCAGCCGAAAGGCGTCCTCCTCCTGCGGCCCCAAAGCCGCCAGCGCCTCTTCCAGGAGACCGGAGGCGAAGGTCTCCAGCGGCGGCAACTTCGCCACGATGTCCTCGCACGCCGTCTCGAAGAACGTCGGAAGCTCCTGCACTTCGCGCAGCGCAAGGGGGGTCGATAGGGAAGGGGCTCTGCTTTAAACGAGCGAAGGAATCATGCAAATGCCCCAGTTGACGCCAGGAGCAACGAGAACTTGCCTGGCGGTCCAGCAGCTTCACTTCTTGGCACGCAAGGGCTTCCAGCTGCTTCTTGAGATAATCCTGCATAGAGCTTCAGATCATGTCAGCGCAAGCCCAGCCTCCAAGCACCACCCCCAAAAGCACCCAAGGCCCTGCACAGACTCCTCACCCCAAGCCCTGAAAGAAGCTGGCGAGTTCAAGCCGTAGGGCTGCGCGCTCCCCCATTCTCTCGCTTACCGGGCTATCCTGGACGGGCTTCGCGGCGGCGCTCCAGAACAGCTCGTGGGCCCGCTTGACAACGAAACCAAGCCGGCGCTTCAGCTCGCGGGTCGCGGCATCCTTGAACTTCGCCAGGGCGGCTCCTGGGCTTCAAGGCTGCGAAGAAACACATCTGGGGCAGAAGACCCCGTGTTGTGAGTGTGCTCAGATGCTCTCAGAGTGATGCTGAAGCCCTGCGTGGCTTCATCTTTCGTATAAGCCAGCTTCGGTCAAGCATATGGACATGCTTTCTGTGAGTCTTGCATACAACTTCCGAGTGAGTTTGGGGGCTGTGCTTCAAGGCAAGCAGGTCCTGAACACGCGAGTGGAGTGTGCTTCCGACGAGTTCACGGATCTGCACTCGCCACACGCTTCGTGCGAGTTCAGACGAGTTCGGGATGAGTTTGGGGACCCGCTTCGGACGGGGTTCCGAAACCCAGAAGCATCTGTCCGAATCGCTGGAAAAAGCGAGAACAACTGCATGAACTCACTCACCTCGCTTTGCGCACGCCCGCACACCCCTCAGAAAACGACGGCGAGTTCGCAGCTCGCTCGCAAGCGAAGACAATCAAAACACAACTGAACTACGGGCGGCCTCGCGCACGCGCTTCAACGTGTACCGTTGGCATCGTTGTCACATGTTGTCACCTTGCACTGTCACAGTATGCTGTCATTACGCCTGTCCACCATGCCTTTCAGAGCCACCGTGCTGCGACTCGCAGCTTTCGCCATCTCCAACTGTGCACGGCTCACACTGGGAGCTCGGGGCTTGTCTCCAGTGCTGTAGGGCTCGGCCGGTCAGGCTGCCGAACCAGGCAGACAGCACCCCGCAGAACGCGATGTGCAACCCCGAAACTGGAGGCTCTCCCTGGACCCAACTACTAGTATAGCCTCTCTTAGACCCTAAAACAACCCATCTACTAAGGGTACCTTGAAAAGGGTCCTGCTCAATCCCAACGCTTTCCGTAGAATCTCAGCCCCGGCTCCTTCCAGCTGCCCGCTGGCGAAGGGGAGCCCCATCTTCAGGAGCTCCTCTCGCTTCCCAAGAGGCAGAGGGCCGAGGAGAATTGAAAAATCTGCTCAGTGTCGGGCGGAGAAGGACGAAAGCTGTGTCTAGTCCCCACCTAGCTCAAGGCTCTCCCCCTCCAGTATAGTCACGGCTTCTACATTCGTGATGCTCGGCGGGCTCCTCACAGCAGCCAGTCCACCTCGGGCACTTGGGCTTCGGGAAACGAGAGAGACAGAGAGCGACAAAGAGAGAGAGAGAGAGGGAGGGAGGGAGGGAGGGAGAGGGAGAGCGAGAGCGAGAGGGGCATAATTCCGAAAGGCATGCTCGGCTGCAGGCGAACCACACGGCGAGCAGGCGCTTGGCCGTGAGGGGCAGCCAGTTGTGGGCAACGTGCCAGCTGTAGCCCCGGCTGATGCTGTGGACAACCGCCCCGATGGTGGCTTGCTGCTTCTCCACGAATGGTTTCATCTCCAAGTCGATGGCGAACTTGTCCTTCTCCAGCTGCGCCTTGCGCGCCATCCATTCCGTGAAGCTCTCGCCAGGCTCTCGCTTCTTGGTCACGTTCGCCACCGCGACGAAGCCTGGGTTAACCACTTCTTCGGTGAATTTCGCATGTTGGAAGCGAAGCTTTCAACTGAAGCCCAACCCCTTTTGACTGCCGTGCGAAGCCCCCTTCCCTCCACTGGCAGCCACGGAGCCATGCTGTGACAATGGCACGAGACCCTTCACCTGCTCTCCCCGAAGAATTGGAAATAGATCTTCGTGCTCATCTTCGCCAAGCCTTGCTCGCAATAGGTCACTGGGTCAAAAGGCATTTATTCACTCCTACGTGGCTTTGCAGAGCGGAGCCTGTCGAACTTGGTGATGACCCCGATGGTGCGCTCCTCGAGGTGTCTGTCCTTGATCAGCTGCATGACCGCCCAGTTCGCAGGTGCCTCCGAAGCTGGGACGATGGCAAGGAAGATGTCCTGCTCTTGCGAATCCTGCGTGTACCTCTGCAGCAGCTGCTGTGTCTGCGTGGCCAGGGCGGCATCGGCCTGAACCAAGCCTGGTAGGTCCACTAAGTTCATCGGCGGCAAGGTCGTGGAGCTGGCTTTGATGTGGATTTCTTTGTCAAGGCAAAACTCGCCGCCGCCAGCCGCCTCCTCCACAAGCTTGTTCATCTCCCCGTGGATTTGGGACTCGCTGACTTCCAGGGAGATGCTCCGCGCCGGACCGTCCCACTTCTGCTCCACGACATTCCACACCTGCATCGTGGCCTCGAGGACCCCGAAAATCCCGGAAGCTAGTGCACGATGAGGGCGGGTCTACGAGAGGGATTTCTCCCTGCACGCCAGGCCGCTGGATGAGGCGTCGCCGTCCGTCGGATCTCCAGCCGCACAGGCATCCTCGTGCAGCGGCTTTTGTCGGTCGGGAAGAAGGGTAGCAGGCTCAGGCGCTGCAGCAGCGAGGACTTGCCGACGCTCTCGGCACCGAAGACCACCAGAAACGGCGCCCTCGCACTTGAGACAACACAGCGGAGGGCGTGGGGCTGAGACCCGCAGCTTCCTAGCTTTTTCCCCCATTACGTTAAGTGTATTATAAGTATACATGGATTCGGTGAGTGATGGCGCGAGGCATGCGCGGCAGGCATGCCCGGGGGTTCCACGGCTCCCGCTGTGGTGCATGGCACATTCTCCGCGACTGCTGGTTGGAAGTCGACAGTCCCAGCCTTATCTTGGCGTTCAATGGCCACACTATTCGGGGATCCTTGGTGTGGTCTCGACATCCCGGCCTTCTGAGAGCCTTGGGGACTTTATGGGATGTTCTCAAGATGGCAATCGTTCTCCCGCCACTGGGCTGCGACTCGTCTTTCCGCCAGTCCCGTGCGCTTCGTGTCTTTTGGGGTGCAACTCCCACCAGTGTCGTGCGCATTTTGGACTGGGTATGTTGAGCTTGGACTGCTATGCGCTTTCGCTGTTTGTCGGGTCAATGTGGGGTCTACGCTGGCATAAATCATAAACATGTCAGTCCCTCCACTGCACGATTTACCATGTTTGTGCCAGCCAAAGACAAGAGTAAAGACAAGGCAACGCCAGAATCACGAAGTGTTGAAGCCGGAAAGGAATGCTCAACACCCAGCTATACAGTCCGTCCTCCAACTGCCCAAGGTGGCCACCAACACGTCGTTCAGCTCATCCAACGCGGAGAACAGCACGCTGAGCCTCCACAGAGAGTTTCGGAGAGGGTCGTGCAGGATTGGATCTTACACATATCCGCCGACCCCCTTTGTCGGCGTCAAGAAGCTGGACTCGTACCTTGCCCGCTGGACCCGCTAGTGGCCTTCCCCATGGACCCGCGCGGCTTGCTTCCTACGTGGACGGACCCGCGCGTAGACCCATTTCCCAACCCCGCCCCCTCCCTCCCCTCCACCCGAGCCAGAAAAACCAACCAATTTGGTGGCAACCAAACAGATGGAACCACGCGTTTTGGGAGCCGTTTCCCTACCCCCCCCCCCCCCCCCCCCGCCCCTCCCCCCCCCACCCCCCACATGGGCGCGTTTTGGGAGCCCCCCCCAACCCGCCCCCCCCCCCCCCTCCCTCCCCTCCACCCTACCCAAGAAAACATTTGGCGGGTGGACCACGTGTTTTGGGAGCCGTTTCCCTACCCCCCCCCAGCCGCCCCTCCCCCCCCCCCCCCAACCCCGCCCCTCTCCCCTCCACCCGAGCCAGAAAAAGACCCTGGAAGGTGGTCAAGTGGTGGAATTGGGAGCCGTTTCCCTAACCCCCCTCAGGCCGCCCCTCCCCCCCCCTCTCTCCCCTCCCTCCACCCGAGCCAGAAATAAACAACCAATTTGGTGTTTTGGAAGGTGGAACCACGCGTTTTGGGAGCCGTTTCCCTACCCCCCCGAACCACATGTTTTGGGAGCCGTTTCCCTCCCCCCCCCCCCCCAACCGCCCCTCCGGCCCCCCCAACCCCTCCCTCCCCTCCCCCCACCGTTTTGGGAGCCGTTTTCCCTACCCCCCCCCCCCCAGCCGCCCCTCCCCCTCCCTCCCCTCGAAAAACCCAACCACGTGTTTTTCGTTTCCCGACCCCCACTCCCCCCCCCCCCCCCCCCCCCAGAAAAAAACAACCATGGTGTGTTGGAAGGGCGGCCAAGTGGGTGGAACCAGTTCCCTACCCCCCGCCCCCGCCGCCCCTCCCCCCCCCCCCCAACCCCCCCCCCCCACCCCCCCCCCTCACCACGCCCCCTCCCTAGCCGCCCCCCCCCCCCCCCCCCCGCCCCCCCCCCCCCGCCCCTCCCCTCCACCCGAGCCAGAACAAAAACAACCGAAGCGGCCAAACGAAACGGGTGGAACCACGCGTTTTGGAGCTGTTTCCCTACCCCCCCCCCCCAGCCGCCCCTCCCCCCCCCCCCGAACCCCCCCCCCCCCGCCCCCCCCCCCCCCCTCCACTTTGGCGGTGGAACCACGCGTTTTTTAAAGCCGTTTCCCCGACGCCCCTCCCCCCCCCCCCCCCGCCCCAACCGCCCCCCCTCCCCTCCTCCCTCCCGCCCTCCCTACCCCTCCCCGGAGCGACAAAAAACAACCTTTTTGGAAGGCCAAAGTGGGTGGAACCACGCGTTTTGGGAGCCGTTTCCCTACCCCCCCCCCCCACCCAGCCCCCCTGTTTGGAAGTGGCCAAACGCCCACGCGTTTTTGGAGCCGTTTCCCTACCCCCCCCCCCCCCCCCAGCCGCACCCCCCCCCCCCCCCCAAACCCGCCCCCCCCCGTGCAAAGCCCACGGCACTTACCTCGGGGGTCGGCGGCAGCGGCGTCAGCCTTTAAATCGGGCAGCGCGAGGTCCCCAAAGGACCGAGCAAATGCGGACCTTTTAACCTGGGTCGTCCCGGGAATAGCCTTGCTGGCCTCTGGCCTTCTGCGAAGCAGAATTAGGCCGGACGCCAGTGCCGCCGACCCCCGCGTGCCGCCGGTGAACGGTTGTTTTTTTCGTGGTTTTTTGCGTCGCCACGGAGGCCCCCAGAGGGCGCGCATCATGAGCATCAGCGGGTCCAGCCCGGGACCCCCAGGCGCGCATCAGGAGCATCAGCGGCTCCCGGGGCGGGACCCCGGGGGCGCATCAGGAGCATGATGCCCCCCAAAGGGCGGGCATAAGCGACGTGTCTAAGCCCGGGGCTAGGAAAAAGGGAGTTTAGGGGCCTTATAAAGTGCTTAGAAACGTTAAGGGAGTCTAGGAGCCTCAAACGCTTAGAGATTTGAAGGGAGTTTAGGGGCCTGAAAATGCTTAGAAACTTAACGCTTAGAGATTTTAAGGGAGTTTAGGGGCCTCAACATGCTTAGAAACTGCTCGCCCCGGGCTTCTGAGTGCGCTGCCCGCCCATGGGCGCAGCCCCTTAAAATAATGAACCCAAACAAGCTCCGATCTAGCTCCGAGTCCGATGTTTGGGCTTCACTTATGATGCCTGTGGAGCGACCCCTGGTCGTCCAAAGCGTGGGAATCATCTGCTATGCGATCCTGGGTCTCTCACGCTCCAGTGTTGAGGGGGTGTAGGGCCGAGGCTTGCGGTTCAGCTTCATTCCTTTTAGCAGAATGCCCACCCCCCCACCCCCGGTCCCCTGAAGAAGCGAGGTTCTCTGAGGCCGTCTAGTTCCAGGTCGAGGTGGGCCATGAACTGCGGCTGCATGTCCTCAGCATGCTCCGCTTGCGGAAACGGAACGAAGGCCTTCTTAAAATTCTCGGGACGGCAGAAAGAGCTGACAAAGATCGGCCAAGACGCACGCAAGGAGGGCAGCGGGCTCTGCAACTCCTTCAGCTCGAGCTTGATGTCCGCCGCCAGCCTTCTCCGGTAGTCGTCGATGTCCTCCTCCTCAAAAGCCAAGCCGTGGCGGAGGAGCCAGGCCACCTCGCCGCGCTGCGAGACGCCCAGCCCGGCGTCCCCCCGCCTGGCCGCGCTGCATTCGATCCGAGGAGGCCACGCCAGACCCACTCGTCCGACGCCTTTCTGGCCTGCCTTGTACACCACCACCAGGGTGTGCTTTCTCTCCACCGCGGTCTGCAGACGGAGGCGCCACTCCTCGAACCACCGGCAGCCGAAGGACTGCTTCTTCTCGTACAGATCCTGCTGAGGGAACAATAACAGTTTGGCATATGGAAATAAGCCCAGGTCAGGTGGGGTCGCATCCTAAGTGTCAGGCCGCTAATTTCCCTTAACTCTGCCTAGGAAATATGCGACGTGTAGATCCTTGATCTTTCGAACAAAAAGAAATAATACATAAAGGCCTAAATTTAGAGTTGAAACCCATACTTGCTTGTCAGAAACCATCAAAAGGGATTTGTTTGGCCTCAACAAACTGATTTTGGATTCCCTGCCCGGGGTCTCCCAAGCTTCCCCACCCCTGGCCTCCCAAGTGGCCTCCGAGCGCCTTGCTCTTGTTTCTCAGGTTCTTCCCTTTCAAGCAGATCGCGCTTGTTTCTCAAGCTTGCTAATCCTTTTCGAACGGTTCGCTTTTGTTTCTCGAGTTTTCTAGTCCATTTCAGGCGGTTTGCTTTTGTTGTTCAGCTGTTTGTTCATGTTTCCCAAGTTCTCTAATCCCTTTGAGCGCTTTGCTATTGTTTCTCAAGTTCCCTAGTCCCTTTCGTGCGGTTTGCTCTTGTTTCTCAAGTCCGCTGGACCTTTTCGAGCGGTTTGCTCTTGTCTCTCACGTTCTCCAGTCCCTTTCCAGCGGCTTAAGCTCTCTAGTCCCTTTTCTCAAGTTCTCTAAACCCTTTCGAGCGGTTTGATCTTGTTTCTCAAGCTCGCTAATCAGCGATTTGCTCTGGTTTCTCAAGTCCTCTAGCCCCTTTCGAGCAGTTTGCTTGTGTGTCTCAAGTTCTCTAATCCCTTTGGAGCGGTTCGACTTCTCGAATCCTTTTCGTGCGGTTTGCTCTTATTTCTCAGGTTCTCCAATCCCTTTCGGCGGCTTGCTCTTGTTGCTCAAGTTCTCTAACCCCTTTCAAGCGGTTTGGAGCGGATTGCTCTTGTGTCTACAGTTTTCTTGAGCCTTTGGAGCAATTTGCTCTTGTTTCTCCAAGTCTCTAGTCGCTTCCCTTTCAAGCGGTTTGCTCTTGCTTCTCAAGTTCTCTCGAACTTGCTTCTCAAGTTCTCTCGCCCCTTTCGAGCAGTTTGCTGTTGTTACTCAAATTTTCTAGTCCCGTTCGAGCTGCTTGCTCTCGTTTCTCAAGCTCTCTAGCCCCTTTCGAGCGGTTTGCTGTTGTTTCTCAAGTTCTCTACACCCTTTCGAGCGTTTTGCTCTTGTTTCTCAGGTTTGCTGGTCCTTTTCGGGCGGTTTGCTCTTGTTTCTCAAGTTCTCTAATCCCTTTCGAGCGGTTTGCTCTTGCCTTTCAAGTTCTCTCGCCCCTTTCGAGCAGTTTGCCCTTGCTTCTCAAGTCCTCTAGTCCCTTTCGAATGGTTTGGCTCTTGTTTCTAAACCCTTTCGAGCTGTTCGCACTTGTTTCTCAAGTGTTCCAATCCCTTTCGACCGCTTTATTCTTGTTATAAATTCTCTAGCCCCCTTGAAGCGGATTGCTTTTGTTTCTCAAGTCCTGCAGTCCCTTTCGAGCGGCTTGCTCTTGTTTCTCAAGTTCTCTAGTGCGTTTCGAGCGGTTTGGTTTTGTTTCTCAAGTTCTGAAATCCTTTTCGAGCGGTTCGCTCTTGTTTCTCACGTTCTCGGTTCCCTTTCAAATGGTTCGCTCTAGTTTCGCAAATCCTCTAATCCCTTTCGAGCATTTTGCTGTGGTTTCCCTAGTTCCCTAATCCCATTCGAGCGGTTTGCTCTTGCTTCTCAAGTCCGCTAGACCTTTTCGCGCGGTTTGCTCTTGCCTCTCACTCCCTATCGAGCGGTTTGCTCTCGTTTCTCTAGTTCTCAAGTCCTTTTCGAGCGGCTTGCTCTTCTTGCTCTAGTTCTCTAATCCCTGTCGAGCCGTTTGCTCTTGTTTCTCGAGTTCTCTAGTCCCTTTCGAGCGGTTTGTTCTTGTTTCTCTAGTTCTCTAGTGCCTTCGAGCGGTTTGCTCCTGTTTCTCAAGTTCTCTAGTGCCTCTCGAGCGGGTTGTTCTTGTTTCAAGTTCTCTAGTCCCTTTCGAGCCCTTTGCCCTTGCTCCTCAAGTTCTCTAGTCCCTTTCGAGCGGTTTGCTCTGGTTTCTCAAGTTCTCTAAGCCCTTTCAAGCCCTTTGCTCTTGTTTCTCTACTTCTCCAGTCCTTTTCGAGGGGTTTGCTCTTGTGTTTCATTTGTTGCTAGTCCCTTTCGAGCGGTTTGCTCTTGTTTCTCAAGTTCTCTAGTCCCTCTCGAGTGGTTTGCTCTTGACACTTGCTTCTCAAGTTCTCTACTCCCTCGTCGAGCGGTTTGTTCTGGTTTCTCTAGTTCTCCAATCCCTTTCGAGCGGTTTGCTCTTGTGATTCAATTTTTCCAACCCCTCTCGAGCGGTATGCTCTTGTTTTTCAAGATCTCTAGCCCCCTTGGAGCGGTTTGTCCTTGCTTCTCTAGTTCTCTAGTCCCTTTCGAGCGGTTTGCTCTTGTTTCTCAAGTGCTCTGGCGGTTTGCTGTTGTTTCTGAAGTCCTCCTGGTCCTTTGCGAGCGGTTTGCTCTTGTTTCTCAAGTTCCTGTCCCGTTCGAGCGGCTTACTCTTGTAACTCAAGTTCTCTAGTCCCTTTCGAGCCCTTTGCCCTTGCTCCTCAAGTTCTCGAGTCCTCTTCGAGCGGTTTGCTCTTGTTTCTCAAGTCCTCTAGTCCCTGTGGAACGGTTTGCTCTTGTTTCTCAAATTCTCTCACCCCTTTCGAACGGTTTGCTCTTGTTTCTCAAGTTCTCTAGTCCCTTCGAGCGGCTTGCTCTTGTTTTTTCAAGCCCTCTACTCCCATTCGAGGGCATTGCTCTTGTTTCTCAAGTTCTCGAGTCCCTTTCGACCGGTATGCTCTTGTTTCTCAAGTTCTCTAGCCCTTTTCTAGAGGTTTGCGTTTCTCACGTTCTCTAGTCCCTTTCGGCGGCTTGCTCCTGTTTCTCACGTTCTCGAGTCCCTTTCCAGCGGTTTGCTCTTGTTGCTCAAATTCCCTACTGCCTTTCGAGCGGTTTGTGTCAATTTCGAGCGGCTTGCTCTTGTTGCTCACAGTCTCTAATCCCTTTTAAGCGGGTTGCTCTTGGCGCTCAAGCTCTCTGATGCCTTTTTCGAGCGGCTTGCTCTTGTTTCTCAAATCCTCTAGTCGCGTTCGAGTGCTTCGCTCTTGCTTCTCAGGTCCTCTAGTCCCTTTCTAATCCCTTTCGAGAGTTTTGCTCTTGTTCCTCAACTCTAGTCCCTTTCAAGCGGCTTGCTTGTTCCCCAGGTTCTCTAGCCTCCTTCGAACGGTTTGCTCTTGTTTCTCAAGTCCTCTAGTCCCTGTGGAGCTGTTTGCTCTGGTTTCTTAAGTTCTCGAATCCCTTTCGAGCGGTTTGCTTTTGTTTCTCTAGTTCTCCAGTCCCTGTTGAACGTTTGCCCTTGGTTCTCAAGTTCTCTAGTCCCTTGCTCGAACAGTTTGCTCTTGTTCCGCAGGTCCTCCAGTCCCTTTCGAGCGGTTTGCTCTTGTGACCCTCTCGAGCTTCTTGCTCTTGTTTCTCACATTCTTTAGTCCCTTTCGAGCGGCTTGCTCTTGTTTCTCAAGCTCTCTAATCCCTTTCGAGCGGTTCGCTCGTGTTCCTCAGGTTCTCTAACCACTCTAATCCCTTTCGAGTGCTTCGCTCTTGTTTCTCAAGTCCTCTTGTCCCTTTCGAGCGGTTTGCTCTTGATTCTCAAGTCCTCGAGTCCCTTTCGAGCGGTTTGCTCTTGTTTCTCAAATGCTCTAGTCCCTGTTGAACGGTTTGGTCCTGTTTCTCAAGTTCTGTAATCCCTTTCGAGTGCTTCCCTCTTGTTTCTCAAGTCCTGCGGTTTGCTCTTGATTCTCAAGTTCTCTAGTCCCTTCCGAGCGGTTTGCGATTGTTTCTCAGTTCTCTAATAGTGTTCGACCTGTTGGCTCTGGCAGCTCTGGTTGCTCAGGTTCTCTAATCCCTTTCGAGCGGTTCGCTCTTTCTGAAGTTCCGCAGTCCCGTGCGAGTGCCTCGCTCTTGTTTCTAACCCCTTTCGGGCGGTTTGCGCGCGTTTCTCTAGTTCTCCAGACCGTTTCGCGCGGTTTGCTCTTGTTTATCAAGTTCTCAAGTCCCTTACGACCGGTTTGCTTTTATTTCTCAATTTCTCTAATGCCTTTCGAGCGGCTTGGGTCTCAAGTTCGCTGGTCCCTTTGGAGCGGTTTGCTCTTGTTTCTCGAGCGCTTTGCTCTTGTTTCGCAAGCCCCCTAGCCCCCCCCAAGCGGTGTGGTCTGTTTGGTCTTGTTTTTATGGCTTCTAGTGCTTTTCGAGCGGTTTGCTCTTGGTGCTCAAGTTCTCTAATGCCTTTCGAGCGGTTTGCTCCTGTCTCTCAAGTTCTGGAGTCCCTTATGAGCGGTTTGTTCTTGTTTCTCCGAATCTCAAATCCCCAGTCCCTTTCGAGCGGTTTGCTCTTGTTTCTCAAGTTCTCTGGTCCCTTGGGAGCACTTTGCTCTTGTTTCCCAAGTTATCTAGTCCTTTTCGAGCCGTCTGCTCTTGTGTCTCAAGTTGCTCTTGCTTCTCAAGTCATCTAACCCCTTTCGAGTGGTTTGCTCTTGCTTCTCAAGCTCTTTAATCCCTTTCGAGCGGTTTGTTCTTGTTTTTCTAGTTCTCGAGTCCCTTTCGAGCGGTTCGCTCTTGTTTCTCAAGTCCCCAACTGCCTTTCGACCGGTTTGCTCTTGTTTCTCAAGTTCTCTAGTCAGTGTCGAGGGGTTTGTTCTTGTTTCTCAAGTTCTCTAGTCCCTTTCGAGTGGTTTGCCCTTGTTGCTCACGTGCCCGGATCCCTTTCGAGCGGTTTGCTCTTGCTTCTCAAGTTCTCTAATCCCTTTCGAGCGGCTTGCTCCCGTTCCTAAAGTTCCCTAATTCCTTTCAGAGGGTTTGCTCTTGTTTCTCAAGCTTTCGAGCTGTTGGCTCTTTTTTCTCAAGTACTCGAGTCCCTTTCGAGCAGTTTGCTAGAGTTTCTCAAGTTCTCTAATGCCTTTCGAGCGGCTTGCCCTTGTTTCTCAAGTTCTCTAATCTCTTTCGAGTGCTTTGCCCTTGTTCTTCAAGTCCGGTAATCCCTTTCGAGCGCTTTGCTCTTGCTTCTGAAGTTCGAGCGGCCTCTCGAGCGGCTTGCTCTTGTTTCTCTAGTTCTCTAGCCCTTTCGAGCAATTTGCTCTTGTTTCGCAAGCTCTAGTCCCTGTCAAGTAGTTCGCCCTTGTTTCTCAATTTCTCTAATCCCCTTCGATTCGTTTGCTCTCGTTTGTTCTCAAGTCCCTTTCGGGCAGTTTGCTCGTGGTTCTAAAAGTCCTGATCCCTTTCGAGCGGTTTGCTCTTGCTTCTCAAGCTCTCTAGTCCATTTCGAGCGGTTTGCTCTGGTTTCTCAAGTTCTCTAGTCTCTTTCGAGCTGTTTGCTCTTGTTTCCCAGGTTCTCGAACCCCTTTCGAGCGATTTCCTCTTGTTTCTCAAGTTCTCTAATCTCTTTCGAGTGCTTTGGCCTTGTTTTTCAAGTCCGGTAATCCCTTTCGAGCGGTTTGCCCTTCTTTCTCCAATTTTCTAGTCCCCCTTTCGAGAGGTTTGCTCTTGATCCTCAAGTTCTCTAGTCCCTTTCGAACACTTTGCTCTTGTTTCTCAAGTTGTCTCATCCCTTTCGAGCGGCGTGCTCTTGTTTCTCAAGTTCTCCCGTCTCTTTGTTCTTGTTTCTCTCACGGTCTCTTTCGAAGTCTCTTTCGAGCGGTTTGCTCTTGTTTCTCAAGTTCTTTGGTCCCTTTGGAGCGGTTTGCTCTGGTTTCTCAAGTTCTCTAGCCCTTGGGCGAGGTTTGCTCTTTTTTCTCAGGTTCTGTACTCGGCTTGCTCTCTTGTGTTTCTCAAACTATCTAGTCCCTTTCGGGCGGTTTAGTCCCGTTCGAGCGGCCGGCTTTTGTTCTCAGATTCTCTAGTCCTTTTCGAACAATTTGCTCTTGTTTCTCAAGTTCCCTCGTCTCTTTCCAGTGGTGCGCTCTTGCTTTGCAAGCTCTCTAGTCCCTTTTGAGCGGTTTGCTCTTGTTTCGCCAGTGCTCTAGTCCATTTCGAGCGGTTTGGCACTTGTTTCTCAAGTTCTCTAGTCTCTTTCGAGCGGTTTGCTCTTATTTCAAGTTCTCGTGGGGAATGTTGGCAATTTGGCATATGGCATATGGAAACAAGCACGATTTGTAGATATATAGGCCAAATTTTACGCTTGAAACCCATACCTGTTTGGAGCACCCGGAAACATCAAAACGGATTTGTTAGACCTCAACAAGTTGATTTTTCAGGTCGGGTCGTTAATTCCGCTATTTTGGGGTGGCGTCGTCTGACCTCGCTAAAATTTCGCCAGTCCTGGCACCAACACACGTCCGAAGTGCCATCCTCGTTGGGCACGTGGCCCCCAAAGAACTTGCTCCCCTGAGGCAAAAACACACAGGCGGTGCTGCCTGAGACGTAGTGCCGGCAGGGCTGGCCAGGATCCTCCGTTGCATCCTTCTCGAAGGCGCTGCGCTTCACCGATCTCCGCACGAGGCACTGCCAGTCCTCCTGGTACTGCCCGGGAAAGCTCACTACGGTCTTGATCTCCGAGCCCTCTTCGAACGAGACGGAGCCGTGAAACGCCGCCTCCGTCATCGCTGCCTGCTTCGCAAATGTCCTGCATCAGCTCGGGCTCAGAAGGCGGGGCTTGACTCACCGCCCGAAGTTCCAAAGAAAAACAGAGAGAGAGAGAGAGAGAGAGAGGTGAGAGAGAGACAGTGACAGAGGGGGAAAAAAAAGAGTAAGTGCCTGGGGCTCATCAACCTCGTGCTCATCAAGGCTGGCCACTCGGCTGGAGCGTCGTCTGCAGTCTTCACGACACTCTGCCTCCAAGCCGGCTCCTTTGCTGGGAAGTTCTCCTTCAGAAACCGCCTGCTGCTGCAACAGCCTGGATTTCAAGAGCTTCGAGCCCACTAAAAAAAAATCGGCACAAGCACATACTCCATTCGGGCCTGATCTCCTCCTCCAACTCGGCTTCATGGTCATAGCCTTCGCGCACGCACACACACACACACACACAAAAGACACATCGGATGTGATGAGGGCCTGTTGCTTCTGCATGCTTCTGCGGGCTTCGATAGTTGTTGAGCTTCGTGTACCGTGTGGTGATCTGGGGGCTTCCTTTGCAGGCTTGCAACTTGAAACGGGGTAAACCCGCCTGGTTCCATGGGCTTCTCCGTCACCGGGGACACCAGCTGTCCGGAAGTCTCGCTTAATCGCACATACTCTTGGAAGGCCGTCTCGTCGTAGAGATTCTCGTCTCTTGCACGGATCGGCCGCTTCATCACCTCCCGGACGCTGCTCTAACAGAAACTGCTTCGCAGACTGAGCGCTGCTACCACCAAAATCAGGCTTGCATCTCCAAGAGGGAGCACCACGCCTGCTTCGAGAGGCCGCACACGAACCGCTTTGGGACGTGCTTGCGGGCCGTCTCCAGCGCCAGCTGCGCGTCGCGGAGCTGCCTGCGCATGTGGGAACTGCGCCGGGGGGGTGGCTCTCCGGCTTATAGGGCTCTTTACGCAGCGCTTTCGGATCCTTGCGGAAGCGAATTTTTGAAGGCCTTTACGGCTCTCAAGCCCCGGCACCTTTGAAGGTCGGCCATCTGCTTCACGTGCTCGGCATTCTGCGCACTCCACTCCCGGATCCCTTCGCGAAGGTTCGTATTTTCTCGGAGGTCTTTGCTCCTGAGCCGCACTTAGGCACCCTGCGTGGGCTTTCTGCAGAGTTGGTGGTGGAAGGCCTTGAGGAGGGCTTTATGCCTGCAGCCGAGGCTCCGGAGCGGGATGTTGCTATAGGGATCCCTCGGCTCAGTGGTCGTCTCGAGCCACCTGGCGCCAGCGTCCGAGCAGGAAGGAAAGCCTGGGGTGGTGGAGACTTCTGAAGGCGAGCTGAGACCGCTGAGAGTGAGAGGACAGGCGAAGATCGCTGCGGCCTCTCGATCTCCACGCGCTCGTAGGTGTTGCAGCCTCGTGCAGCAGGCAGCATAGCTATACTGCACCGCAAAGCAGGGGGGGCGTTCCCCGGGAAGGGAGCGGAACATCGTGCACGGACAATGGAAGCATTCAAAGGCTCCGGGATCTGCGAGGGAAAAGAAACCAGGAGAAAAACAGAAGTTGTAAACAAGCGTCAACGCATGCAAGAGATAGACGTAGAGTGCATGGTACAGAGACGGGAGGGAGAGAGGCAGGGAGAAAGAGAGAGAGAGAGAGAGTTAAACGAACAGCGGGATAACAAAGGAGATGTACCATGGAGGTGGGGAGCAAAGGGCAGAAAGAGGGACAAAGAGAGAAGAGCGCCAGCGTGAGGCCCGATGCCTTCGGGTTCTTCCGCATCCACGGTGACCGGATCCTGCATCCATCAGAAGTCTTCGAATCCAACAGGAGCCCATGACCAGGAATGCACAGACTCTCTCGGAGGTTCGAGGCATGGAAACTCCTCTCTCTCTCTCTCCCGCACGCGTGGAAACTCCTCTCTCTCTCTCTCTCTCTCTCTCTGTGACTCTACAGATTCTACAGATCCGTCAACTCGACTGACAAGAAGAGTAGCCGAGAGCACAGAGGGAGAGACAGAGAGAGACAGAGACAGAGAGAGAGAGAGAGGAGAGAGGAGGGAGGGAGAGAGAGAGAGAGAGGCTGAATAAGGGGCCTTCATGAGCTCGGAGCTCAGCTTGCACTTGAAAGAGCATGGGATTTCCATGGCGGCTCAGTCTGCTTGGCAAGGGTGAAACATCGGTTCCTGTCGCCTTCCGTGAAGGCCCTGATCTATGTTTGCAATATTCCGCAACTCCCCGGAGGGCATCGACTGATCTCGCAAGAAAGAAACCTCGAAGCGAAGCTGTCAATTCGAGCCCACTGACCTATGGCTCGCAAGTGGTGCAGCGAGCGCGTCTGTGTTTGTCAAGCCCTAAACACTTCGGGAACCGTCTCCTTCGAGCCAGGTGCAAAACAAGAGATCTCACTGAAATTCAGCGGAGTGGCTTAACTTCAGAAGAGGTGGAGCAGATTCAGTTGCCTCTCAAGGCGCGCATCCCCTCTCAGAGCTACGAGTCAAAGAGGGGCACCTCACCGGAGCGTCGAACCTCGATGCCTCGGCCAAGAGGGGCCGGGAAAACATGTGTTCTCCCTGTCGAGTTCGTCGGGTGCGGGGTGGCCTTTAGGCTGGACTCCGGGTGTCGGTGGCGCTGCCGGACCCGCAGCCCACGTACCCGCCTGGCTAGACTTCACCCTCGATCCCATCATCCGAGAACCAAACACACCCAAACCCGGGAACCCTTGCGCACGCCCCGAGCAGGCCGAGCCCTCAAGGCCCGAAGCAGCAAAAAACACCTCCGTTAAACACGGCCCGACTACGGAACCAACTACGCCCGCAAACCCCGCCCACCCCCCCCCGAGACCCCAAAGCAGACCGCCGAACTCCGAGCTGCCGGCGTAAGCAAGCTTTCCGCCCTGCAGCGTTTGGAGATGTTTGGAGTTTCGGGTTTAGGGTTTAAGGCCTTAATTGGGGTGCTTTTTGGACGCCATGGGTTCAAGGATGTCAGAGTTTGGGGCTTTTTGTGGGGTTCTAGGATTCCAGGGCTCGCAGCTTGCGGTGTTTATGGGTTGCAGTTCGAGGGCTCGCGGCTTTGGGGGGTTCTGCGCTGCACCCGCCCCGACCATCACTCTACGCACACGTCCCTGCCCCAAAACATCCCCAAACCAAGGAAGCTCCGGAGAAGCTTCCCGACCCACGAAGCTCAGAGATCTCAGCCCAAAACATCCCAACATATCCCTGAAGAATCCAGCGAGGGCGCTGCACCTTGAAAGCCCGTCCACCCTTCCCTGTCAGGGCAGGCGGCCGTGTGCCACAACTCCTGGCGACGGACGATCTCGGGCTGATCGAAGGTTTGAGTCGTGGTGGTGGTGGTGGTGGTGGTGGTGGTGGTGGTGGTGGTGGTGGTGGTGGTGGGGGTGGTGGGGGTGGTGGTGGTGGTGGTGGTGGTGGTGGTGGTGGTGGTGGTGGTGGTGGTGGTGGTGGTGGTGGTGGTGGTGGTGGTGGTGGTGGTGGTGGTGGTGGTGAGGGTGAAGGTCATGATGGTGATGATGGTGATGAAGGTGATGATGGTGATGATCATGATGATGAAGAGGATGAGGATGAGGACGAGGATGAGGATGATGAGGATGACAATAACGATGACGAGGAATACCCTGAAGATGACGATGAATACACTATGATGACGATGATGAGGAGGAGGATGTGGTGGAGGAGGGTTTTGGTGACGTGATGGTGAGATCGTCCCTTCTGATCCATAAACAGTCTATGTTTAGTCCTACCGTCATTTGTGTTTACCGTCCATCGCCATGACCATTACCAGAGGGTAGGGGGAGCAGGGGTCGGGAAGGTTCGAAGCCTCAAAGCCTCAAAGCCTCTCAGCTGGTCTGAAGCTTCAAAGCCTCAAAGCCTCAAAGCTTCTCAAACGTTGTCGCTGAGACGCTTGAGACGCTTGAGACGCCTGAGGCGCTTGAGCGCTGGAGACGCTTGCAGCCAGAAAGCATGAAAGCCTGAAAGTCTGACAGCCTCGCAGCGTCAAAGCCTAAAGGAAACGTTGTCTTTCAGACGCTTGAGACGCTTGAGACGCTTTTAGCTCTTGCGTCGCTTGAGGCGCTTGAGACGCTTGAGACGCGTGAGGCGCTTGAGACGCTTGAGGCGCTTGAGACGCTTGAGGCGCTTGAAACGCTTGAGGCGCTTGAGACGCTTGAGACGCTTGAGACGCTTGATGCGCCAAAGACGCTTGGGGCGCTTGAGACGCTCGAGACGCTTGAGGCGCTTGAGGCGCTGGAGACGCTTTGGGATGCTTGAAACGCTTGAGGCGCTTGAGACGCTGGAGACGCTTGAGGCGCTGTAGACGCGTCGGGCTTGATGCGCTGGAATCGCTGGAGGCGTTTGGGCACGCTTGAGGTGCTTGCGACAGTACTCGAGACGCTTGTGCTGCGCGTGAAACGATGGAGATTGATCAACGCCAATCCGTTTGTTAAGCATTGACCAGAATTCTCGCAAATGTCCGTAGTTCAAGTTCTGTTTTCTTGCGCACGGAGGGCTCACAGTCTGCGTCGCAGAGCTGCTGTTGCTCAGACGCCGGTTCCTTTCAAGTCTTCGAAGCTCAACACAAAGATACATCGTTCGAGCGCTTTGAGGACTGCCAGCGACATGACAAAAAGAAAAGGCCAAAGAAGGGCGGGGATTGAGATTGAGCTCAGGCAGTCTTGATCTGAACCATAGGGACTTGATTTAGGGTTCAAGATTCAGGGTTTCACTTGAGGCGTTTTGGGTTGGGGGGGCGGGGGGGGGGAGCAAATTTCACAGGGGAGGTGAGGAGGGGAGGTAGGGGGGCAGGCGGGGCGGGGGTTGACCCCTTGAATTGTTCGATCGTCTGCTAAACACAAAACCTTTTCAGGAACTTTTTTTTTTTTTTTTTGGGGGGGGGGGGGGGGGGAGGTGACCCCTTCAATTGTTCTCTCGTCATCTAAAACACAAAACCTCAGGTTGAGCCCTTGAATTGTTCTATCGTCTGCTAAAACACAAAACAGTATTAGGATTTTGTTGTTTTTTTCTTTTGGGGGGGGGGTGGGGGGGAAAGCGTTGACCCCTTGAATTGTTCTATCGTCTGCTAAAACACAAAACATTATTAGGAACTGATTTTTTGGAGGGCGTGGGGGGGGGTTGACCCCTTCAACTGTTCTATCGTCATCTGAAGCACAAAATCTCATTATGAATAAACACGAGCGTATCTGGCGCGCATGTTTTGTATGGTGTACAGGTACAATTGGGAGCATGTTTTTGCCGCTTGGGGTCTTTTGAGCGACGCTAAACCCTAAATTTCAAGATGAAGCACTCATTTCCGAAACTTGCGGGAGTGAACGAAACATGCTTGTATGTGGCGCTCATGTTTTGTATAGTGTACAGGTACACTTAGAAGCATGTTTTGCTGCTTGGGGTCTTTTGAGCGACGCTCAACCCTAAATTTCAAGATGAAGCACTCATTTCCGAAACTTGCGGTGTTGAGTATCTGGTGCGCATGTTTTGTATAGTGTACAGGTACACTTGGAAGCATGTTTTTGCCGCTAGGGGTCCTTTGACGACGCTCAACCCTAAATTTCAAGATGAAGCACTCATTTCCGAAACTTGCGGTGTTGAGTGAATGAAACATGCTTGTATGTGGCGCTCATGTTTCGTTATAGTGTACAGGTACACTTAGAAGCATGATTTTGCTGCTTGGGATCTTTTGAGCGACGCTCAACCCTAAATTTCAAGATGAAGCACTCATTTCCGAAACTTGCGGTGTTGAATGAATAAGCAGGAGTGTATTTGGCGCGCATGTTTTATAGTGTACAGGTAGACTTGGAAGCATGCTTTTGCCGCTTGGGGTCCTTTGATGGACCCTAAACCCTAAATTTCAAGATGAAGCACTCATTTCCGAAACCTGCGGTGTTGAATGAATAAACATGAGTGTATCTGGCGCGCATGTTTTGTATAGTGTACAGGTACACTTGGAAGCATGTTTTTGCCGCTTGGGGTCTTTTGAGCGACCCTAAACCCTAAATTTCAAGATGAAGCACTCATTTCAGAAACTTGCGGTGTTGAGTGAACGAAACATGCTTGTATGTGGCGCTCATGTTTTGTATAGTGTACAGGTACACTTAGAAGCATGTTTTTTGCCGCTTGGGGTCTTTTGAGCGACGCTCAACCCTAAATTTCAAGATGAAGCACTCATTTCCGAAACTTGCGGTGTTGAATGAATAAGCAGGAGTGTATCTGGCGCGCATATTTTGTATGGTGTACAGGTACAATTGGGAGCATGTTTTTGATGTTTGGGGTCTTTTGAGCGACCCTAAACCCTAAATGTCAAGATGAAGCACTCATTTCCGAAACTTGCGGTGCTGAGTGAATGAAACATGCTTGTATGTGGCGCTCATGTTTTGTAAAGTGTACAGGTACACTTAGAAGCATGTTTTTGCTGCTTGGGGTTTTTTGAGCGACGCTCAACCCTAAATTTCAAGATGAAACGAAACTTGCGGTGTTGAATGGATAAGCAGGAGTGTATCTGGCGCGCATGTTTTGTATAGTGTACAGGTACACTTGGAAGCATGTTTTTGCCGCTAGGGGTCCTTTGAGCGACCCTAAACCCTAAATTTCAAGATGAAGCACTCATTTCCGAAACCTGCGGTGTTGCATGAATAAACATGAGTGTATCTGGCGCGCATGTTTTGTATGGTGTACAGGTACAATTGGGAGCATGGGGTCCTTTGAGCGACTCTAAACCCTAAATTTCAAGATGAAGCACTCATTTCCGAAACTTGCGGTGTTGAGTGAATGAAACATGCTTGTATGTGGCGCTCATGTTTTGTATAGTGTACAGGTACACTTAGAAGCATGTTTTTGCTGCTTGGGGTCTTTTGAGCGACGCTCAACCCTAAATTTCAAGATGAAGCACTCATTTCCGAAACTTGCGGTGTTGAATGAATAAACATGAGTGTATCTGGCGCGCATGTTTTGTATGGTGTACAGGTACAATTGGGAGCATGTTTTTGAAATTTGGGGTCTTTTGAGCGACCCTAAACCCTAAATTTCAAGATGAAGCACTCATTTCCGAAACTTGCGGTGTTGAGTAGGAGCAATAAGTTGAGATGCTCGAGACGCTTGAGACGCTTGAGGCGCTTGAGGCGCTTGACGCTTGAGACGCTTGAGACGCTTGAGACGCTTGAGGCGCTTGAAACGCTTGAGGCGCTTGAGACGCTTGAGGCGCTTGAGACGCTTGAGACGCCTGAGGCGCTTGAGACGCTTTGGGACGCTTCACACGCTTGAGACGCCTGAGGCGCATGAGGACGCGCGCGAAGCTTAAAAGCCTCTGAGCCTGTCAAAGTTTGAAACGCCTGTGACGCCTGTGACGCTTGAGACGCTTGAGACGCTTGTCTCGTTTATGACGCTTTGCGGCTTCGCGGCGCGGTGCTTCTTTTACGCTCGCCCGAACCCCCAACCCCCCTACAATCGAATTGTATACATTGTATAAGGTGGAGGAGGATTCTAAACTGGACAAGGATGGATAATATCATATGGAGAATATGATTATTGTGTTGTTAGAAGTAAAATGGCAGGCCCGTCTAAGAATATGGCTAAGGGTTGGAAAATCATCGGAGGTGTCATCGACATGGACCCAGCGGATTGGGATGCTATTTTTGGTCGCATGCACCACGAACCACGAAGAAACTCAGGTTGCATTGCCCAAAACAGCGCATCCGTTCCATGAAGTGTTTGAGAAGGGTTGCAAAAGCAGTGCAGCCGCTGCCAAGCGCGAGGATAACTGGGATATTGACCCCGAACATTTTTGCTACCAAGCCGCATTGCCGTTCTCGACTACGGCTGTACGTTCCATCTGAAGAGGATGTCAACATGCTTCCATCCATGACGCCGTCTAGGTGTACGGTTGCTTTCCGCATGAGAGCACAGTGTGTCAACAAGGCTTCATCGTGCACAGAACCTCGAACGCAACGCAGTCAAACCACCATCAATGAACTCCACCTTTAGTTGTGAACCAGAAGTGCAAGTCCAGCGATGGACTGATTATGACTGATTTCTAATTACTTGCATGGCTGAGGCAAGACCAGTCACTCTACTCTCTCAAAGACGGGTCCTTCACGGACTTCGCTGGAAACACGAGTTGCATGTGTCTAGGATTGTCTAGGTGGGCTTCAGGAGAAAACGTGCAGACTTTTGCGGTCGGCAAGAATGCTCAGCACGGAGCAGCATGGTGCGGTCCGAGGCCTATGGCAGGCAGATCAGCACTGCACGAAAATCAGCCCTGAAAGCTGCTGATGGGAAAGAAACAAGTCAAAGAAGCCAAAGAAGTCAAAGAGCTTGTCTTCACTGGTTGAAGTCGCGTCTGGTCGTCATCTCAAGTCTTACTGGCACAGCTCGCTGGCTTTGTCGAAGCTGTTGCTGTCTGTTGAGTGCGGACTGCACAGCTGCATAAATGCAACTTGCAAGGACCACTCCGACGACCACGCCATAAAGGAAAGATGAAAGACTTAATGGAGTCCCTGAAACAGACTGGAGCTGACCGTGAGGTAGCCTGAGTGGCTGGTGTGGTGCAAACCACGCGTTCCTGCCCTGCGGCGACTCATCATAGACGTATCGTAGGAGAGGCCACCCATTCGAACCTTGCGTTCCCTGCGCTGATTGGATGAACTCAGCCGTATTCTCCCAAGCCTTCTTTGCTAGCCAAAGCTCTCTGCCGGAACCACAGCCTTCAGAGTACATCGGGAAATCATGCCACATGTTGTGGTAAACATCAACAACAATAGGCGCACCATATGCGGCAGCCTTCTGAGCCAGAATGACACTGTCTCCGAGCAAGGTCTCTTCCGAACCCACAAGGAAATATAGCGGTGGCACTGTTGCAAGAAGGCTGGCGTCTGCGTGGAAAGGTGAGGCAATTGGGTCTACCAGCAAACCCCTCTGCCCACCCACATACTGCAAAGCTACGTCGCGGAACTCAGCCATATTCATGGCTGGCGGGCTCTTGAACAAGATATCTCCCCGATGTTCTGAAGATGATGCATCAGAGGATGAGTTGAAGATCATGGAGTAAGCATTGGTGAAGTAGTCCGGCGTGTCACACAGCCTCAGCTTCGCTCAATGCGGCTGACAATGGCTGACAATCTTGCCTGAGCAGAGTGGGCGGATGTGGGCGGCATACCTTCTTGGAGCCAAGGCACAGGTTGGTCCATGGGCTCCACAGGAAGCCCCCCTCGAGCTGGCAGGCCCTTGGAATCAGGTCCGGCTGCTGCCCCAAGTGAAGGATCAGGCTAAGCGCCGTGGTGGCGCCGCTGGAGTCTCCACCAACCTCACAAAGACAGGCCTCTAGTCTACTTGTTTTTTGGAAAGCGCTCTTGCTCTGGCTTTGTTTCTCGGGAAAATTTGCCAACTTCCTGTGCCAAGCCACATAAAGCCGCACGGGAGGTTTGGCCTCGCACTCTTCCAGAACATGATTGCCTAGCCACTGGAGGGCCTCCACCGATGCCTTGAGCATGGAGTCGAAGTTGCCGACTGGCAACAATGCGAAGTCTGGCATCATGACGACGCAGCGGGTCCTGGCTGCCAGCTTGGACGCCAGCGCAGCATACCCGGTGCTGTTTGGGGAGCCATGGTACCAACTACCTCCATGGAGGAAGAGGATGCGACAATCACAAACAGGATCTGCAGGAATTGACAGCATATCATCCCCTCGAAAACCTGGTTCTGAGAGGCAGCCCTGGGCAGCAATACACTCCCAGGAGGCCCCGGGTCGCCTGACGTTCCGTTGCACCACAGATGGGTCGCATTGCTCATCCAGGCAGCAGCCGTCATTCTCCAGCAAATGCGCTCGGCAAAACTCCACAGATGAATCTGGGAGCGCTTGCCAGGAAAAGGAGAAAAAGCTTCGCCAGCCATGAAGCGCTGAGAGGAGATATCTCCCGGTTAGCATCTCCGGCTCTGCTTTTTCAGAGGCAGAGGCTGCCCCAAGGCAGGGATGCACGTCAGTGATGCAAATTCTGTTCGCATTTACCGACTAGACCCAAAGGATCATGGGAAGCTCGGTTTAGATTTTGGATGGTTTAGGGTTTAGGGCTTAGGGCTTAGGGCTTAGGGCTTAGGGCTTAGGGCTTAGGGCTTAGGGCTTAGGGCTTAGGGTTTGGGGTTTGGGGTTTGGGGATCTGTTCGCTCCGGCTCAAGAAGCTGCGTTAGCGGCCCCTAAGTCCCGACAAGTCGACATCAACAAGGGCGGAGGCTCTCAGCGGCCTACCTGCTCATTCTAATGCCTGCCTTCTACTTCACATTCTGGTCAAGAAGCTGGAGGCCGAAGAGGAAGCAGACTGCGTTCCCACTCGAGCATCCTTCATGCTGCAATTCAAAAAAATTCAAGACACATGAGATGTACGGATGTTCAACATGGAAGGAAACCAGCTAGTGGGATGATTAGGATTGAAACTAGCAAGCTTCGGCTTGCCTTGCTGTACGCTACTGTCGACAGCAAGATAAAACTGGAAGGGGGGCATGTTGGAGGCTCGGAGGAATTAGTTCGCCTCTCTAATTGAGAATTCGCAACATGAATTCGGGATAGGGCTCAGGGGACTGTAGGCTCAATGGAACCTACTAGGTAGGTGGCCGTGGCGTAGACTGCGGAACTGCTCATGCCGTTTCTGGGGTGGCGGACTATCAAGGGTCCCGGGCTCAGGGTGCTCGGACTATGAGCTGAAGCTGGTAATTCCCCGAAACATGTGAGTGAACATACCAAATCCCTTCAGGCCATCAAAACTGGCGAAACACTTGCTAGCGCCCTGCCGCAAAAACGACTGTCAAACCTAAGTCCAGTCAACTGAATGTTGACCCTGCCAGCAAACAGAACGCGCAATGAAAATGGCCCATGGCATTTGCATTGTCAACCACCTCACGCAATAAACAACAGCGCAATGAACGGAACACGATTTGCTCCCCCAGGAAACCCAATCAGTAAACAAACATGAAGCGAAGGGAATATTGGAATTCCTTCAACCAAAGCACCTTGAACTGAAAGTTACTCCCCCTTGGCGGATTGAAGCGCAGCGAACTCAAGGTTCACCATCCCGTTAGTGAAGCGAAGCGGCATAGTAACAAAAGCGGAAAGAATTCTGTTCCCCACAGGAAACGACATCAACAAACGAAAGCCCAAATAACTGAGCACTATTGTATGCACTTGCGCCGAATCAGAACCCCCCGGGAAACAAGAGTGCACTGACTTGAACGTCATAACGCCACATGGACAACCCCAACAGCAAACAAAAGCAGAATGGACTGAATGTCATTACCCCGAGAAGGCCTATCACAAATCAAAGCACCATGAAGCTCCATGAAGTAAAACTTCTTGTGCGCCCGCCATCAAATGCCAAGGTTTGTCACGGCCCTCGGACGCCAGGGTAGCTGGCTAAGACGCAGCCGGAAAGCATGAGTGGGACTGCCACGCAGAATTTTCACTGACGCAGCGGCAAAGGGATCTGTTAACCCCGCCTGTGGCCACACCGAACATCTCCACAGGCGACATCTTCGAGCCCAGGACGCAGCCGAGAGGTTTAAGAATTGGAGGTCAAGGCAGACAGCACTGCATGAGCAGCCCGCTCCCCGGACTCTAAAGCTCCCTCCATGTAGCCGCGCCAGTGGTGAGCGTACTCTGTCCCGGCAAAGCTAATCCTTCCGGTCTTGGGGAAAAAGCCATCCGGCATCTTCTTCCATTGACCCAGGCCAGGAGTAGACATATACGCACCCAGTGAGTCTTCGTCGCTAATCCAGTTGTGATAATGAAATGATTGTATCTCTTCCTCGAGTGACCCGTAAGATGCACGAAGGAAGTCAGCAAAGCCCTTTTTCAGCTCCTCCGCGGGCCTCTCGCACACTTCTTGAGCTTGGGCGCCCACAACAAAGCCTGCCAGCACGCCGTTCCCCGTGGAGTGGCTCAAATCCGCCACTTCGGACACGTCCAGCACCAAGCCCTGACCTTCTTGCCCTTGAGCTTGGGGTCGACTGCCAAGAGATGACACTGAACCCGTCAGACCACGAGTACGCCACCAGGGCGTGGGAAAAACTGCGATGAGTTTCAGCACCTGGCCAAACACCATGGAGGAAGCCACTTCAGTGTAATTGCTGGGCAGGGGTGGCTGGAAACGGATTCGCCCAAGAAGTTGGGGAGGGAATGCCAAGATCAACTCTTTGGCCGTATACACCGCGCCGGTGCTGGCTTTGACCACCACCTTATCTCCAGCACTATCTACTTCCACGACACGCGAGTTGAGCTGAACGCCATCCTGAAGTTCCTCTGCCATCTTTGCAAATATGTTTTGAAGCCCTTGATCAAAGAAGAACGTCTCTGCCTTCTCCTGCTGTTCCAATGATCCAAAGGTTTTCATGGTGTGTCCAGCAGCATAGATTGAAATATCTTTTGGGTCGCGGCAAAAACCGCCCTTCATGATTGACTGAGCTAGAGTGTTGGCGCCATTGGTCCAGCAGTTCTTCTCCAGGTAATGACCCACACTCCGATTGTCAATCTCTTCAAGGCCTTGCTGAAAGCCGCTGAGCGAAATCCTCTTGGTCATTCGACTCAGACGCCAAAATCTCATCATGAAGTCGAGGCCAGAGAAGCATCCAACCCCAGAGTTGCCCGGAGATTGGAGCGACGGCTTTGGCCCATCCTTCCATACCACATCTTTGCCGGCCTTGAAGTGCTCAAGCTTCCTGTATCCATAAGTCTTCACCAACTGGTCCAAGCGATCATGCCCGGCTTCTGCCTGCCACTGTGCACCCAGCTCCACGTGAGTGCCTGACTCCAGCTGGTGACTGAAGATTCGGCCACCCAAACGGCCGCGGGATTCCAGCACCACCACCGTCTTTCCAGCTTTGCGCAAGATGGATGCGGCGTTCATGCCAGCAGCACCGGCGCCAGCAATGATGACATCGGCTTCCACCATGACTGGTCGATGGTTTCACCGTGCTCACCTTCTCGGAAGGCCCTTGAGCTGCAAGTCGAAGACAAATGAAAAACTGCTTGAAACGGTTTCTCCAAGAGGACTTGCAAACGATCTTTATAACTCGCAGAAATACTCCTGTACGCGCACGCACACACACACACACACACACACAACCCTGAAGTATTATCTTGCAAAGTGAAATCTGGAAATCGCGCTTTCAAACAGTTTTGCGAGATCTCAATTTCGGTCAGTTGCATTCACCAGAATGAACTACACTCTGTTTAATGGCTATGGATCAAAATCCCTACTAAACACATCCATTTTGGGGGTCACTGGTGGAGACACGCGAACCTTGGCAAACAACACTGCCCGATTTCTCCGCACGGCACATAACACATGACGAGCTCACGCACACCAACTCCTTCACTGAATTGGCCCAGTTCAGTACTGCCTTTGGGAAAAAAGGTTTTGCACGTCTGACTTCCAAAGGCACGTTCTCGTGAATGGCAAGTAAGTAGGCGAAGTGGAAGTTCCTTTCCAGCGTGCTCTCCTCCTTCATGACATTAACACATGTTACTTGCAGTCAACAACGCAATGTTTGTTGAAGAGTGGCTAGCTGTCACCTTACGCAAGTTCAGGAATTCCGTCATCGCAACCCCGAACCCCTTCCGCAAAGAAGCGGAGCCCACGCGGAGTCCCCCCAAACCGCGTGGAGAGCGCGAGGCCCAAGCCCACCCGAAGCCGACTCCGGAGCCCGCCCAAAACTGCATTGGAGCGCAAGGAGCTTCGCCACCCAGTCTTGATATGTGTTGATAAGACTTTCCACAACATCAACACGACTGTAAGGAATAAACCTTCTGGCGCAACGTCACGAAAACTGTGCGGGTTCACTCCCAGCACTGGTCCGTTACGAATGTTCCTAGAAGCACACGTCAAGAAGAAACTGCACGCATCTTTTCTTCACACGCAGGCATGAAAGATATCGGTGCTTCAGACAGAGCAGGGCCGCAGAAGCACCCGGACAGAAAGAGAGAAGGACTGAACGCTTGTCGTGGCCACTAAAGTTTTTCAGGAGCAGGGCCAGCATTCTTCAAGCAGACGCCAGCCAGTGTGAGTCCCCTTCCAAGGGTGTTGTGGGTCGTGCCGACCATGAAGTGAAGCAGCGCGCAGATTCCGGGAAGCCCAGAAGAAAGGGGTCATTAACCTCGACTGAGGCTGTCAGCAAGGTCGGCGCATCCTACACGTCCAACGGCAACGAACGAAGTGGCAGGAACACGGAGTGAGTTGCAACAAGACAGAACCTCAGAGTTCTGACACGCACTTCTTCACTACTGCTCTCAAGCAGTTCCAAGTGCTTCAAAACTCATCCTCGGCCATGCCAACAAGACGAGTCGAAAAGTAGAGAAGAAAAGAATGAGAGCGAGAGTTAGGGCGCATCCTCTTTCCTGAAAAGGAATAATCTGGGGGGGGGTTTGGGGGCGCAGACCCGCCCTCGCCTCACCTTCGAAGCCCTTGAAGCCGCCCTTCGCCCCCCCCCCCGCTTCGAAGCCCTTCAAGCCCTTGAAGCCCCCCTTCGAAGCCTTCGAAGCCCCTTCAAGGGCTTCGAAGGCTTCCGGAACCAACCCCTTTCAACTCGCTTATCAACTTTGGCAAGCAGGTTTTGGCCCTGCCCCCACTTGGCAATTCCGGGCAACCGTAAGCTGAAGGTGCCAGGCGCAAAAAGTTGGGAGACTCCAGGGTTGACGGTCCAACCAAGCGGCAAGTGTGAAGGTTAGAGGTCTCTACTACAGGGGAGGCCCACACACACACGAAGCCAGAATTGCCTAGATTTTTCGACCCCAGATTTGGAAGTCACAGAGTCGCAGCTGCAAGCCTCACGCGCACACTGCCTTCTGCTTCTACTATCTGATACACTTCCAGCTAATAGTCACGTGCTCTTCCCGCAGCTCTACCCCTGCCCACTTACGCGGCGTCGCCAATCAAGATTAGA